GAATTGCTTGCTTATTATGCTAAAGATAGAGATTGTATACTTGTTTCTTCTTCAAGCTAAAGTTGGAGATTTTATTTCATTCTAGTTTCGAGTTGGCCTTTTAGGTCATTAGTTAGTCGTCAGTGTAGTTAGATCAATGCCGGGGGCCACTCAAACCGACGAGACATAGGAGCCTTGTTCTTATCCGTTGCCGGGTTTTCCAGGTTTTGTCCTGAAGGGATTACTTTGCACGTCCTGTTCTAACTGACGGCAGCGCACACATACAGCTCTGAAATGTTTATCTTACTGTCACCGTAACCCTCGGCAACACGGACTGGTGTGCAAAGAAAACAGGAAAGATTTTACGATTAGTTTTCTCTTTAGTTTTGCGATTGAACCAGGAATTTATCAAGAGTTTCTATAAGGGATGTATAAGTCACATTTAATATTTAGAGATCTTTTATTCGTCCCACAGTAGGGAAATTTCAGTGTTGCATCAATAGTTATAGAGCAGTAGGAATGAAGAGCACACAGCACAAGATGAGTGCTGCTATACCAATAAAAATAAAACAAAATCTCTAACTCTAGCATCGAAGGACAGGTATAAAATCTCTATCTTGAACATAATAATAATAATAATAATAATAATAATAATAATAAAGTATAATGGTTTTACATTTGGCAAAATAAGAGGCAAGTATAAAGTTGTGTGTTCTAGTGCGAGCCATGTGTAATTATATGTTAGCATCTGTACATGTTAGCAGTTGTAAAATTGCATCTGTTCATGTTAGCAGTAATATGTTAGCATCTGTTCATGTTAGCAGTAATATGTTAGCATCTGTTCATGTTAGCAGTAATATGTTAGCATCTGTACATGTTAGCAGTAATATGTTAGCATCTGTACATGTTAGCAGTTGTAAAATTGCATCTGTTCATGTTAGCAGTAATATGTTAGCATCTGTTCATGTTAGCAGTAACATGTTAGCATCTGTACATGTTAGCAGTAATATGTTAGCATCTGTTCATGTTAGCAGTAATATGTTAGCATCTGTTCATGTTAGCAGTTGTAAAATTGCATCTGTTCATGTTAGCAGTAATATGTTAGCATCTGTTCATGTTAGCAGTAATATGTTAGCATCTGTACATGTTAGCAGTAATATGTTAGCATCCGTTCATTTTAGCTGTAATATGTTAGCATCCGTTCATTTTAGCTGTAATATGTTAGCATCTGTACATGTTAGCAGTAGTAAAATAGCATCTGTTCATGTTAGCAGTAGTATGTTAGCATCTGCACATGTTAGCAGTAGTATGTTAGCATCTGCACATGTTAGCAGTAGTATGTTAGCATCTGCACATGTTAGCATCTGTACATGTTAGCAGTAATATGTTAGCATCGGTACATATTAGCAGTAGTATGTTAACATCAGTAAAGATTTTTTTTCAGAACCTGCAGAGATCCTGTGTTTATTGCATAGAAATGTTTTGAATAAATAACATGTTTTCTCTTTGGCAGTAACAAAAAGTAAAGCTACATTTTGCATCATCATTTACATATTGGATAAACAAGAAATTGCATAGTTTTGACCCAACCCAACACGCACACACACAGACACACACACACACATACACACTTCCAACCATAACAATACAATATCAATACATTCTAACAAGACACTTCTTAGAAAATAAGATACTGCACATTTTTAGCATTACACACAAAACAGTTTTAAAGGCACTTTGGGGGAAGAAACCTTGTATAACTCTTGTATGCAGCAATATTCCCTTTTAATGCAACCCAAAATAGGAAATTGCTTCATTCTCTCAATCTGTGACTCGCATATGATTTGGTTGTTTAGCAAAGCATTTAACATATTTGTGACATTTTAGTGCCATATGAACCAACTTGGAATCTGAGGAGCACAGGGATTGGCCTCCTGCTGAGAATCTGAAGAGCACAGGGATTGGCCTCCTGCTGAGACTCTGAAGAGCACAGGGATTGGCCTCCTGCTGAGAATCTGAAGAGCACAGGGATTGGCCTCCTGCTGAGAATCTGAAGAGCACAGGGATTGGCCTCCTGCTGAGAATCTGAAGAGCACAGGGATTGGCCTCCTGCTGAGAATCTGAGGAGCACAGGGATTGGCCTCCTGCTGAGAATCTGAAGAGCACAGGGATTGGCCTCCTGCTGAGAATCTGAAGAGCACAGGGATTGGCCTCCTGCTGAGAATCTGAAGAGCACAGGCAGGCCCGTCCCAAGGAGGGTGCGAGGCCCTGTGCGAACTCGAAACGCGAGGCCCTGCCCTGACACTTTTTTCCCAGATCTGAGGAAAGTTTTTCCTGTTATAATCTTTGACATGAATTCAGCACCACCTCGCGCGGTGCTTGACGAGATCAGCACGCGCGTAACCGAGTGTCTTCGCTCCTATGCAGCGTTTGGCGCGCGCACGTACACACGCACACACACTCTACGTGCAATATTGGTCGCGGTCTTTTTAGCTGACATGTCTCTTTCGTCCTGTGGCAAAATGGTAGAGCAACTCAAAAGATTGAACCAAAAGGAGTCTTTTTCTTCTAATAGTTAGATTTTGGGCAAAATGCGCCAAAATGGCTATGAGGCGGAGTCAATATTATTATTTTCTCATCAAATAACGTTTTTGCCATGCCTCCACACACTCTGACAACATACACTCCTCCTCCTCCACACTGACAACAACAAAATACTCTTCACCTCCTCCTCCACACACTCTGACCACAACAAAAACACTCCAGCTAGCTAAAGCTAGACATACAGTGTGTTTGCTAATGCTTTTAAAAATATGTTTTTGATGTGGATATTCGGACTAAACATTGGCAATAGCAGCGCTCACACACCTGTCACACCGCTGATCCTCCTCCTCCTCCTCTGCTCACACAAAGGGGTCTGCTCCTCTGCTCACACCTGTCTCACTGCTCCTCCTCCGCGAGTATCCATCTCTCCTACACTGCGATCATTCCCGTTACTTTCTTTGTATCTCACTCAGACACTGCTAAAGTTATCTGACAGTTTTTTCGGAGGACCCGTTGCATACATAGCTGCCCGCGCGCCTGCCTGTTTACAAATCGCTTTTGGTGAAAATTTGACTTTACTTGTAAAAATGTTCTTTTGATCAAACGAAATCAAAGAGGTCCAGAGAAAGGGGTTTAGGGTTCCAAATTTGGAGTGCAGTCTGCCCTTTGGGGACCCTTGAACTAGTGTATTTATAAAATAAAATAAAAGGAAGGAAGATTGCGAGGCCCCTGTGTGGTGCGAGGCCCTGTGCGACGGCACAGGTCGCACAGCCCTTAGGACGGGCCTGAGCACAGGGATTGGCCTCCTGCTGAGAATCTGAGGAGCACAGGGATTGGCCTCTTGCTGAGAATCTCAGGAGCACAGGGATTGGCCTCCTGCTGAGAATCTGAAGAGCACAGGGATTGGCCTCCTGCTGAGAATCTGAGGAGCACAGGGATTGGCCTCTTGCTGAGAATCTCAGGAGCACAGGGATTGGCCTCCTGCTGAGAATCTGAAGAGCACAGGGATTGGCCTCCTGCTGAGAATCTGAAGAGCACAGGGATTGGCCTCCTGCTGAGAATCTGAAGAGCACAGGGATTGGCCTCCTGCTGAGAATCTGAAGAGCACAGGGATTGGCCTCCTGCTGAGAATCTGAAGAGCACAGGGATTGGCCTCCTGCTGAGAATCTCAGGAGCACAGGGATTGGCCTCCTGCTGAGAATCTCAGGAGCACAGGGATTGGCCTCCTGCTGAGAATCTGAAGAGCACAGGGATTGGCCTCCTGCTGAGAATCTGAAGAGCACAGGGATTGGCCTCCAGCTGAGAATCTGAAGAGCACAGGGATTGGCCTCCTGCTGAGAATCTGAAGAGCACAGGGATTGGCCTCCTGCTGAGAATCTGAAGAGTACAGGGATTGGCCTCCTGCTGAGAATCTGAAGAGCACAGGGATTGGCCTCCTGCTGAGAATCTGAAGAGTACAGGGATTGGCCTCCTGCTGAGAATCTGAAGAGCACAGGGATTGGCCTCTTGCTGAGAATCTGAAGAGCACAGGGATTGGCCTCCTGCTGAGAATCTGAAGAGCACAGGGATTGGCCTCCTGCTGAGAATCTCAGGAGCACAGGGATTGGCCTCCTGCTGAGAATCTGAAGAGCACAGGGATTGGCCTCCTGCTGAGAATCTGAAGAGCACAGGGATTGGCCTCCTGCTGAGAATCTGAAGAGCACAGGGATTGGCCTCCTGCTGGTGCCCACTTAAGCACTTTGAGTTTCCCTGTGTATGAACTGTGCTGCACAAATAAACTTGCCATGATAAATATGCAATAACAAGCAGGCGTTGTAGATCATCGAAGCAGAAAGCGCTGTGATGATTTTAAGCATAACTATTTACTGTAACAATTTCAAAGGAAATTCTTCTTTCAAATTTCAAAACATTATAATTTTAAGATTTCTCAACATTTCCTTCACACGGTTTGCTCAATCCGTAAGTAATCAAGTAAGTAAGTAAGTAATCTTTTATTTATATACCGCCTTTTCACTGCACATCGGAGTCTCAAAGCGGTTTACAATTGTTATTTTTTGGGAGTGGGGGTGCCAGTACAGGAGGCACATGCCAGACCTATTGTACATATTTTTAGTGGTAGGGGAAACCGGAGCACCCGGAGGAAACCTACGCAGACACGGGGAGAACATGCAAACTCCACTCAGAAAGGCCCTGGTCCAACCGGGTCTCGAACCCAGGACCTTCTTGCTGAGAGGCGAGAGTGCTATCCACTCAGCCACCGTGCCGCCCGAATCCGTGATATGTTTGTGTTCTTGCGTTGGCGGATGACTCCTTGTACACGCTGACACAGGATATTAAAACAGGATATAGTATTCAAAGATAACAATCAATTACGCAAAACATGTCCATTCAGCTCCGAAAAACAATTGTCCCAGTATTCCCGGTTTCTATACTCGACGGTTGGGGTCTTGTGGCGAGCGGGCGTCGGAGTCCGCGGTTCACTGGGCGTGCTGGCTCTCGTGGTGGCGCCGCAGGTCCACTTTGCGCTGGAAACCCTTGTTGCAGATGTTGCAGGCGAAGGGTTTGAAGCCGGTGTGTTTGCGGCTGTGGGTGATCAGGTTGGAGCTCTGACTGAAGGACTTCCCGCAAACCTGGCATTTGTGCGGCTTCTCACCTGCGGGAAGAAGAACGGACAATGTTAGAGAGGCCGGAGTCAGAAAGAAATGGACTTTTGAGTATGTTAAAGGGCACAGGGTTGCACTACACAGTCTTGGTTATCATGGTACAGGACTTTTGGATAATTTTGACCTGGTTTTATTCATTGACTTTAAATAGGAACGACCAAAGTGACGCCTATTTCCTCCATTGAAATTTTTGTGCCACAGACATAGGCAGATTCAAAATGGCCGCGGGCAGCCCCTCCCGCAGGAATACGTGAGAAAAGACATTTGCGCATGCGTTAGCCGGCACTAGCCCCATTCATTTCCAGGGGTTTCTCACGTTTCTCCCACTGGGTTTTAGAATTTTTCCTTTGCCGATGCTGAAGGGTCTATTGGACAGTTAGCAAGATGAACTGTGGTGATGATCCAGGACTCTTTTATTTTATTCTATTCACTCATTCATTCATACATTTATTTATTTATTTATTTGATAGGGACAAAACACATTCATAAACAATCAGATACAAGTTGTACACAAATTGTAAATGTGCCAGATTACAGCAAAACTGCTAGTTTACATCCGTAGTCCCCGAGGCAGGTCACGCAATAATAAGAATACACAATATACAACTATGCAAGTTGGATGGATGGATCAAAAAGAAATGCCAGAAAAAAGCCCTAGATTCTCCATCGTGGGAAATCCTTCATCCAGAATGTGGTCCGGATCACCTCCACAATTAATTATCAACCACATTTTTGAGTTTTTCAGGGACAATATGTTGCTAACAGTAAAACAAGCAGACAAACCGGTAATCACTCTACCTCCTGGACAGAGATAATCAAACCAAACTTCATGTGGACAAAAGTGAACAGAGGGATTGTGTGTAATCTGTCCTGTATTTTCATAATTATTGCGCCTGGTCTACTTCCTTATACGGGACTCAGAGCGGAGCCTGGGAGAGCAGATATGCAAATGACCTGCACATTTGTTTAAGACCTTGCGATTTATCAGCAGTTATTATATGACTCCTGCTTCTCCGGTTCACGGCACCTGAAAAACCGTCAATATGAACTGCTTATGTGGTGTAGAAGTGGCATTGGCTCTGGGTTAGGAGGGAAAAATAGAGTCCGGTATGAAGAGTATAAATCTACATTACGAAATAAAGTTCTACTTAGAATGACTGTTATGTACAAGTGCACTGATTTAGCATTTAGCAGTGCAGTGCTATAGTGACAGTAGCATAAAGTGACAGTAGCATAAAGTGACAGTAGCATAAAGAGCAGGAGTTGTCTTACCGGTGTGGATGTAGGTGTGCTTCTTCATGTCGGACTTCTGGTGGAACCTCTTGCCACAGAACTGGCAGGGGTACGGCCGAGTGTCCGAGTGGATGAGGAGGTGAGTGGACAGAGTGGACGAGCGCTTGAAGGTCTTGCCGCACATTTTACACTCAAAGCTCTTCTCCTGAAACACACACACTCCTGTCATTTACCTGGTCTGCACAAGCACTTTAGAGGGGCATGTGCAATGTACTTTTTTAACGCCTTTAATGGTTTCCTCAACTGTTTGGTGGATCACTTTTGTTTACTTATGTCAATGAATCAATCAATCAGTCAATATTTATTGATTTATTGATTGTGTTGCTCCGTGATTGATTGTGTTGCCCTGTACAGGGCAACACATCGCTATGTCCTGTCACATATGTAAATATACGTACATAGGTACATACTGTATGTCTATTTGAGTTTTCACTGGTTTTTCCTGAGCTTTGGGTAATGATCGAAAGGACAAGATCTGTAAAAGCTTTCCCTGCAAAAAGCTGGACATTCTCACAGAGATTTGGGTGAGGAGCTCAGAGTTGAACCGCTGCTCCTCCACATTGAGAGAAGCCAGGAAGCTAGTGTTCCGCGCAGTGGGAGCGTGTGCTGACATACTTGCAATATCTCCCCAGTGTACCCGAAAAGAGAATTATCTTAAGCTTTTGTATGGCTTCTTCTTTCTTATGGATAACGGATTTATAGGATGGTCCAAAAATCGTCTCTTGGCCCAAAGCTACGTTCCAGAGTGGACCGGCTTAGTATAGCCGCTGTGGACTTCAGAAGGCACTCTAGCCCCATTAATTACATGAATGGGGCTGGATCCTGGCTAACGCATGCGCAAATGCGTTTTTTCACATTTTCCTGGTGGAGTGGCTGCCCGCAGCCATTTTGAAAAAGCCCAATGGAAGGCAAATTAATGGCACATTAGTTTCAGCGGTGGAGATAGGTGTGACTATGTCTGTTAAATTTATGTCTATGGTTTTGGTGGAGGGCCGTTAGGAAGTACATGCTGTCTTTCAGCTGGCCTAGACATGCCTGGGAATTCCCCAAACTATAGCTGAAATCTCTGCTCAGACTGCTGCCTACGCCATCCGGCCATCGACGAAGTGAAAGAAAATGGATGATTGATGTTTTAATGTCTTCATAGAATTTTCTAGTTTTACTTACTAGAATTTTCAACCTTACTCTTCCTACTGCTGTAATTTGACGCTACACAAGAATAAATTGAATTGGATTGAAGTGAATGACTGTTCTGTACCTGTGAGTGCACGTTCATGTGCTGCTCCAGGCTCACGGCGTGGCCAAAGGTTTTCCTGCAGACGCTGCATCCGAACGGCCGCGTGCCGCTGTGAGAGCGCCGCACGTGCACCTCCAGCCCGTGAGGAGTGGAGAACACCTGCACACAACACCACAGTCACAAAGGTGTACAGGAGTATTTTCCCAAATTTCATTATACAAAGCTGAAGTTGCCTGGATGACTCTATAAACTTGTCTTTATGATCTCAAGCACTATAGTTAGCAAGGCAGAGGACCACATAACATGACACAGAGGGTCGCAATTGGCCCCTGGGCCTTGGTTTGGTTGCCTGGATTATACCCAAACTCTTTGTCACGTACTGCGATGTGTTTTATGTTATTCTAATCTTCCTCTGTTTTGTGCAGCACATTGGCTTTCCTTAAGTATGAGCTGTCCAATACAAATAACCTTCCTGTTCTCTCCACAGTGCGTGTGCTTACCTTGTCGCAGGTGATGCAGTGGTAGGTGTCGGAGGACGGGGAGTAGCGTGTGGAGCAGTCCAGAGGCTGAGAGGGCGGTGGGCTGCTGCTGTACAGGTGACCGCTGTGTTGGAGCACGGTGGGACTGAAGGTCAGCTGTCTGAAGTCGTAGGCTCCGGTCACAGACTCCCAGATCGACGGCTTGAAGTAAGCAGAGGGGTCTGCGGAGGACAGGGATGTGAGGTCACCAGGTCACAGGAAGAATTAACTGATATGTTGTGTGCTCCTTGTGTGCTCTCACTATTTTACTGTATGTGCACTAAAACATTGACATTTCCTCAATGTCGGACAAATTGTTTCTCTAGCCCTGTTTCCACCGGCACCCTATTCTGCTCTACTCTGCCCTGCTCTACCCCGAGTAAAGTAGGGTTGCTGGAAGCTATGGTAAACAAGAAATTGGGTAGGTAGTTAGCAAACTATAGCAGTTACTAAAGTGTAGTTGAAACATAATCAGGTAGAGTATAGTAGAGCCGAGTAGAGGAGAGTAGACCAGAGTAGAGAGCACCCTGCGGCTACACTACCTCTGCTGCTGTGACCTAAAGTACTGTTGCTTCATATACTGTAGGCAGTGTTTTGGTATGACTGTGTGAATTGCTTTCCAATGTTTGGAAAAGAGAAGAATGAGGCTGACAGTCGTTCAGTGCGGCATCTGCAATGATGTGGTCACCGCATGGGTGAGAGATGTACACCCACTTCTCTTTGTTCTTTGTGTTCTGACCTGTGTGGTAGTAGACTGTGTGGGGCACACTGTGGTAGTGTGCCTCACACTATAATGATGTAAATTATAAAAACATATGTGTTATGTAAATGTGTGAGAATATGTCTCCCTGGACTGTAGTCTGTGTATTGATTTTATGGGTAGTGTTTTCATTTGATCATTTGTTTATGTTATTGTATGGTTACTGTATTGTGTTGTATTGTATTGTTTTTTTCCATTTAACCAGGGACTGCAGATGGAAATGAGCTGTGTAGCTATAATCTGGTGCAGAACAAATCTGTCTTTGAGATGAATGTTACTGTGCACTGTGTTCAAATAAAGACTGGACTGAACTGACCTGTGTGGTAGTAGACTGTGTGGTTCTGACCTGTGTGGTAGTAGACTGAGTGGTTCTGACCTGTGTGGTTGTAGACTGTGTGGTAGTAGACTGTGTGGTAGTAGACTGAGTGGTAGTAGACTGTGTGGTTGTAGACTGTGTGGTAGTAGACTGTGTGGTAGTAGACTGTGTGGTAGTAGACTGTGTGGTAGTAGACTGTGTGGTAGTAGACTGTGTGGTAGTAGACTGAGTGGTAGTAGACTGTGTGGTTGTAGACTGTGTGGTAGTAGACTGTGTGGTAGTAGACTGAGTGGTAGTAGACTGAGTGGTTCTGACCTGTGAGGTAGAAGAGCTGTGTGGCTGGATCTCTGGGGACCTCGGGCTGAACAGGGGCCTGCTCCTCGTCTGTGGAGCTGCGGTCCTTGTCCTGGTCCCGGTCCTGATCCCGGTCACCGCTCTCAGCCGCAGGAACAATGTCTGACACAAGTAACAAACCGGCTTTAGCTGATTCATTTCAAGGCTGTGATTCAAGAATATGTCGGTGGTGACTTAGATAGAATATGGTTTTGATTCTTTTTTTATTTTTTTTTATACTCATCTAAAGCAACACTGATCTTCCTAGTGTGTTGTTCTGACATGATCCTGGTGCCGTTTTTTTGAATGAGTAAGATCCATCCATCCATCCATTTTCTACCCCTTGATCCATTTCTGGATCAGGGGGGTGGCAGTCAGAGATGCCACCCAAGTCACAATGCACCAGCCTCTCACTGATCCTCTGCAGGTGGTGAGTCCACAGGAGGACGGCTGCTCTGTCAATGTGAGCATAGCCATGATCTCTCAGCGGGGGCTTTTGGGCAAAGTGGGGTTAAGTGTCTTGCCCAAGGACACAACGACAGCAGACATCAGTGGGAGTCAGTGGAGAAGGTATCAAGGTGGGAATTGAACCCACGACCTTCACGCCTAAAGGCCAATGCTCTACCAACTGAGCTACTGTCGCCCCTGAATGAGTAAGAAAACGTTATAAATCACGCTAAAGTAGCAATATGTAAGATTTTCATGTCAAGTGATATTTCAATGTTTTTATTTGAATGTCCCGCCCTCCACCATTTTACCAAAGTCCGTGATCCGGGATGCCATAACTCACCGCGTCGAGCTAATCTCACTGGTAAGGTACCATGTGGCCGCAGAACTAAGAAAGGTCTCGTTATGATTCTCAAATCATTAGCGACAAAACAAGTAATAAAACCAGGATTTCTATCTTTGTGAAAAAGGTGTTGGTTCTAGATTTGTTGTTGACAAAACTCTAACATTATTATGGTCCCAGCTGGATTCGTCTGCATATCTGGCAACCTGACTCAGGGAGAGTGGGAGAGGCTGCAGTACCACTTTTGGCCAGATTTGTACATACTGCTCCTTTAAAGTATCGTTTAGACAGACTTGAATTATTTTTCTGTATTATACTGTATGTAGTATATACATCCAAATCTCTAGGTATAGTCTCCTATAGGGTTCTATACTAAACAGGAACCAACTGTTTTGGATTATTTTGAAGCAATAGGAATAGAATTTTTTTGAGATTCTGCCGATTTCCGTAATGATTATTCTTTATTTTCTCACCAGCATTCTAGAGGGTCTAAGCTTTAAACTTATGTATGTCATGTGTCTAGTAAGAATTTGGCTAAATGAGACTTTGTTGACACACACTGGGATACTCTTGTAAGTAAGTAAGTAAACTTTATTTATATAGCACTCTTCACAGACCAGGGTCACAAAGCGCTTCACATAGTATAAAAACAGACATATAAATTAGACATACAAATTTTTAAAGGCCAAGACAGCCATTGTAAAAGAATACAGCAAGAAAAGCTTACGCAAAAGCCTGAACAAATAAATGGGTTTTAAGTTGACTTTTGAAGCACTCAACAGACTCTATAGAACGCAGCGAGAGCGGGAGAACGTTCCAAAGCTTGGGAGCAACAGCCTGGAAGGACCTGTCTCCTCTTGTCTTGAAGCGAGTGTGTGGAACCATCAGGAGGTTCTGATCCACAGACCTCAGAGCCCTGGCTGGGGTGTAAGGCTGGATCAGGTCACTGATGCACAGTTATTCCAATGGGGTTTTACTGTAAATAGCAAATAAACTGAATCTGATACTCCCTGACCGTAACGAAAGGCCAAGGTTTATCGCTTCATGGCCTGCTTTATGCGAGTGCATTGAATGGCCCTTGTTTGAGCGAGTGCATAGTAAAATATTCAAATGTTACCTGCGGCGCCGAGGGCCTCGTCGCCGTGCCATCTGTGGACGTTGTAGGATGCACACCTTTTGTTTTTCACCAGGAACGACCGAGGCATTGTGACCACAAGCTCTGCAAAACAGTTCAAGCTAAAATTAAGTCTCTGTCTCTGTCTCCAAATCGGATTTTCAGTTACTGTACATATTCCTCAGCCACAAAGAGAATTGTCAAAACCGAAAATTTGGTCATTCAAAAAGATCCTACCCCAGTAATTTTCTTTCCCATTTGATCTCTAAAAAAAAAAACATTGTAGATTATGAAGTGGGAAAAACCTTAAATACATAAATACATATTGATTGACATATTGATTCTCTTTATTTATGTATTTATTTATTCATTTGATTGCAAGTCGACATAGAACAAAACAAGTTTGTAACTGAGTTTAAAGCTAATGCTAATTTTCAACTGCAGTCCCTGGTTGGGCCTCTCTACACTATACTCACATGTTCAATGTTATCTTAAAAACATATCTGTATACGTATACTGTTTAACACTGTTTAAGAGAGAAGGGAGAAGAAGAGGAAGAAGAAGAAGAAGAAGGAGGAGAAGGAGGAGAAGGAAAAGAAGGATAAGAAGAAGGAGGAGAAGGAAAAGAAGGAGAAGAAGAGGAAGGAGGAGAAGAAGGAGAAGGAGGAGTAGAGAGAAGAAGAAGAGGAAGAAGAAGATGAAGAAGGAGGAGAAGGAAATGAAGGAGAAGAAGAAGGAGGGGAGGAAGAAGGAGGAGAAGGCGAAGAGAGAAGAAGAGAGAAGAAGGAGAAGAAGGAGGAGAAGGAGAAGAGAGAAGAAGAAGAGAGAAGAAGGAGGAGAAGAAGAAGAGAGAAGAAGAAGGAGAAGAAGGAGGAGGATGAAGGAGGGGAAGGCGAAGAGAGAAAAAGAAGAAGAATGGATTGGATTGGTTTGAAAGACGCACAATGGCGTTTTTATTCTCACACATCTGACAGCGGCTGTTTGAAGACACGGTGACTGTGTTTATCAGCTAAAAAACACTAAATCTTATCAATGCGTGTGTGGAATCTTTAGCTTTGTTTGAGGCCTGAAAACGTCACATATCACCTGGTAAACACTGCCATACAACTACAATGTACTTAAGTTTTGGTCGTTTTAGATTAAAAATGACTGTGGTTTGAATTCTGTACTTTTATCATAATCATTGTACTTTGTATGTCCTAGCGGGGAAAAAATAATTAGATTTTAAGAGAACACAAAAGTGGTAACCCTAATGTCATATGTGCGACATGCAGGCAAAGCTATAGTATAACGGACCACATTTTTGCCTGCCAGCCATTTTTGAAGAAATTCACTTTTTTTTAAGACCCACAGAATATTGCGTACTATGTCTATGTGAAATCTGAAATCAAATTCGGAAAGACTGGACTGACCACTTTCATCAGCAGAAGAAAGTGTTCTTTTAGCTTGTTTTCGTTCTCCTGTAATCCCCAGTCGAGGAGACAAAAAGACGTCAGAGGCAGAGAGTGAAATGTTAGATATTTTTGTATATTAAGTGGCTTTTGGACATTCTTACATTTCGGCATCAAACCACCATCATGTTCTGATCTTTCACACAAAAACAGACTCTGCTTTCATAAAAATCACTATCTCGCAGACAGAAGGGAGAGGAATGGGTAACAGAACAATCACATTTAAACTGGTTTGCGAAAATGTAAGAACTTCAAAAATCTTCAAATTCTTTTCCAGGCCGCTGTTAATGAATATACGTCTTTAAATTCCGACAGAACTGTATGGATTTGTTTTAAATGTTTGGTCTCAAATTTCCCCCATGGTTTGTTATGGGATATCCTTCTTTAAAGCTGAGGTCCATCACTTTCAAACCACAACAAAATGGATCTATGTAAGAAAGTCCAGTCACACTGTAGTTTAGCCCTAACTCTTTAACAGCTAAAAAAGTGATAATTACTGTTTAAAGGTCCCATATGACGCTTTTTGACTTTTCTCTGCTTTAAACATGATTACAGTGTTATTTGGCCTCATACACATGCCCAGAGAAGTTTTTTCATTGTTTCTGTCAATCTTTAGTAAGAGAGCGATCGGTCTCCTTCACACTCAAGAGGCACAGAAACGCCCGGGTCCACTTCTGTGACCATTACCACTCTGATGACCAATATGACGCACATACGCCCGTTTGCTTTGTATTTAAAATGTTTTTTAAATACTGTCGTCAAACCAGGGAAAACAATAAAAACAATAAGTTTGCTGTTTGTTGTCAAAAATGATAAGAATAATAATAATACTAAAATACGGGAGGTGATTGACCAATAGAAATCAGAGCGCGCAGCCAGCTCCCCAGTCCAGAGTATGTGGCTTGGTCCTGCAAACACCACATGGAGCTACTGTTTTCTTGCTTTTGTCAGCGGCTAAAAGTGTTAGGATCATGTCAACTTAGAGAAATGGTGTTTTGGGTGTACATATGTGTCGTACTATTTGGCTCAAAAAGGAAGAAAGCGGCTCAGGGATCTGCCTCTGTTTGAATGAATCCGTTCATCTGCAACACTTCACTGATACAGGGTCAATGGAACTGGACCCACTCAAAAGCTGATCTGGAAACAAGTGTTATTCCGACGATAAAAGACAGTAACATGGACCCTCGATCTGACGCTAACTCGGCGTATACTTCTGTAAACTAAAAAATCAAGGTCTGATTCTGGATCGAGGACATAGGGCTCAATGTGACGGATTGTCGTTGTTGGAAAAGGTTTATTTGCATGTCTGAAATGACTGTGCACCAGAGATAAACAACTCAGAGCGTGCTACGTCACCGTGCGGGTGGGGGGAGGCGGGTGAGGGCGGGGGGAGGCGGGCTCACAGGCAGAGGAGCAGACTCTGGATCAGCGCGTTTGACTCGAGGAGACGTCACCTTTATACAAGAGATGGCTATAATCTCTCAAGTTTTGAGTGTTGTATGATGCATCACTCAAATTATTATCACACATGTGCGTAGGACTGACTGTGACACAGAAAGAAAAGCGTAAAATGGGACCTTTAATTAATTGATATTTATTAAGCACATATTTGTCCTTACTCTACATGGACTCCAACATTTAACTAACTAACTGACTCTTTCCCATCTGGGTTAGGGTTAGGGTAGACTAATTAACACTTAAATTGCCTTTAATTAGTGAGGGCTTGGGGGTGGCAGCTGTCATTGCCACCCCTACAACCCAGAAATGGACTAATAAAGAAGTTTGAAAATGAAATTAAATGAAATAGTGAAGGCTTATCTAAAGTCCGAAGATCCTAAAAGTCACTATAGTTTCTCACTTTCAATAAAGTTTGGTTCTTGTACTTGTATTATTATTTATTTATATATTTTTACCTCTGCACATTTTAGATAAGCTTGTTTTCAGACAGGAAAGTGAATAAGAGCGGACCACCCTCACTCAGCCAATCAGCTCTCACCCCAAAAAGCGTCAATTAGCGCAAGTAGCGTAACAGAAATATAACTTGTTTAATAATACGATTATGAGAGCCTGTTGTGAGCCAGATTTTACTTTCACACTCTTTCTGTCTTAACAAACAACAAATATTAGTTATTAACTATAAAAGTTAAAAGAATATGTGGAAACAGTGACTCACCTTGCGCACGTAAACTCCAGATAGATTCTAGATGTGTTTCGAAAGTGCAGAAAAGTACCAGGAGTGAGGGAACAGCGGAGAAAGTGCGACTCGAGTGAACAAACTTCTGTCAAAGCAGCGAGCGGAGCAGTTTTTTCTCCTCCCTGATTTTCAATCTGATAAGTGCGCTGCAGAATCTGACCGTGCTTTCAGCCAATCACAGGCGGAGCTGCGCGTAAAGGGAGCGCGGCATATCCCCAAAATCATCGCTCTATAACGCTCTATGGTCTCTCTCTTTTCCCTCTGTCATATGTCTCGCTCTGGTCTCTCTCCTTTCTCTCTCTCATAGTGTCTCTGTGGTCTCTCTCTTTTCTCTCTGTCATAGTCTCTCTCTCATGGTATTTCTGGTCTCTCTCCAGTCTCTGGCCTAAAGACCAGAGGGATAGCCAAATATCCCTAATCTATCGATCTAATTATTAACATGCTCTCTCTTTCTCTCTTTCTCTCTCTCTCTATTTCATTTGTCACTCTGGTCTCCTTCACTGGTTTCTCTTTCTGGTCTCTCTCTCTCTGGTCTCTTTCACTGGTCTCTTTAGTCTCTCTGGTCTCTCTCTCTGGTTTCTCTCCCTCTGGTCTCTCTTTCTCTCTAGTCTCCCTCTGGTCTCCCTCTCTCTGTTGTCTCTCTCTGGTTGGTCCCTCAGCTTTCTCGTCTCTCTCTCTCTCTCTGGTCTTTCTCTCTGGTATCTCAGAGACGCACAGAAAGTTACAGTATAAGGGCCTTTTGTTTTGTAAAGAAACTAGTTTTGGCGGAATCCAGTTTAATGTGACTTTACAAAAATCAAAAGCTCATATATCATAGTTTACATTTCCTATATTGACAGTCCTTTAATTATATATCACATGTTACCAAACAAGTTTCCACAGTGCTGCAGAGACAACAGTGACACATTTAAATATACAGGTCTGGCAGCTGTATGTGTGTGTAGAAATATGAGAACAAATAAAACATAAAAATAAAATAAAAACAACATCATATAAAATACAGAAATGAAACAATAAAACAAAAGTAAAGAAATAAAACACGGACACAACTCACGCGGCGTCAGAGGCCAGAAAACGAAAGTGGGTCATAAGAATAGACAAAAATACAAAACTATATTGAAATAAATACAAATGCAAAACATTAAAAACAAAATAATTTTAATGCGGAAAATGCGCCTTTGAAATTCCTCAAATCTGCAAACGTTTTGTATGTTTGTCTGAATAATTAGACAAATAAATGCCATGTTTATTTGTTATTATTCGTTATTTATTTACGTATTTATCTATGTATGTGATTGTTGTGTTGCAGTCACTTTATCATGCTTTAATGACATTTGCTTTTTTAATGTTTTTTACGCCCAATAACCTGCTCAAATGAATTTCTGCAAGCGGGATAAATAAATTAGTCTGAATCTGAAATGTGTTGCAATGATTACCGAATACATTTTAATGCATGTATTCACACTTTTGATCTTACTTTTCTGTTGGAGTGGAGGCAAAAACGCATCAGCGCGACGCATAAAAACTGCTGAGGATTAATCAAGCCTATTTTTCCAGACAATTATACAGTACACTTCCCACACAATTATTTTAGGAGCCAGCACGCGTGTGTGATTTTTTAGATTGGCTTCACAGTCCACAGGAAAAACATTGGTAGATTTTGACGGGTCCCTCCAAAGACACACAAGTCAAACCTGTTCAGCGGTCTGGGAGTTCCACACGACTATAAAAAAATGCTAAAATAATCAATGTTTTGATTTAAAAGTGCAAAACTACATTTAGACTGTTGTTTTTGTGTTTGCATATTATTTATTTAACATCTACGTGTTGTTGGAATCACATTTATCTTTAACAGCGCTGTCAAAGAGGCCTTTTCCCCAGACGACTGCAGGCTGAAGTGCACTGGCGCCATCTAGTGGACAGTCATGAGAGCGCATGGAGGAGTTCTCAATGCAGGTTTTGTGTCTGTTTAGAGGAATAGTCAGTGTTAACAATGGGTTTTGCTAAAAGATTCAAGCACATTCTCGCACTCTCTTGAATGTATTTCTATTCAAGAATCATGAATCAAAATCATTTCTTGAAAAAGACGCTTTGTCGTATACTTTTCTTTCAGACCGGTGTAGAAAGGCATGCATGGAAAACTATTTAGGGATCTATAATTTATAATATATTTTTCATTGGTTTGAATTGTAACACCATGTCTGGGAAATATTACTCATCAGAGTCCCAGCAGGAGGCCAGTCCCTGTGCTCCTCAGAGTCCCAGCAGGAGGCCAGTCCCTGTGCTCCTCAGAGTCCCAGCAGGAGGCCGGTCCCTGTGCTCCTCAGAGTCCCAGCAGGAGGCCGGTCCCTGTGCTCCTCAGAGTCCCAGCAGGAGGCCAGTCCCTGTGTTCCTCCAAGTCCCAGCAGGAGGCCAGTCCCTGTGCTCCTCCAAGTCCCAGCAGGAGGCCAGTCCCTGTGCTCCTCCAAGTCCCAGCAGGAGGCCAGTCCCTGTGCTCCTCCAAGTCCCAGCAGGAGGCCAGTCCCTGTGCTCCTCCAAGTCCCAGCAGGAGGCCAGTCCCTGTAACATGTATTACTGAGTTTTGTCAATGCTGAGGCTTTTAAACCAGCCTGAGTCCTGGATCTATGCCTGTCTGTATATAAGAGTGGATCCCTCTCTCAATGTGCCCCCTGAGGTTTCTCACTTCCCCATTTTTTGCTGCAGGAGGATCTAAAGATATATCCTTAGATCTAAAGATAAAGTCATGATCCAGGATATTTACAGTGTTCATCCCACTCTTTATGAACCAGTGGCTCTTATGTGTGTTTGTTATTATTGTATTTCCTGTGTTGAAATGGTTGATTCTCTGATCTGTCATTGGCAACCTCTCAGAGACGACTGTAGTGATCCAGGGCTAGGTAACTATACTCTGAATACCATCAACAGAAAAAAATATATACATTGCGAACAGTTACTGACAAAAGTATTCTCAGATATCATATTCTGTAACAGTTTTAATAGTGTTTTAGGACAATAAACTCTGCATCCAGCAAACATGGGAGATGTTCTGCAGTGTAAAATACAGCTGGGTTAAAGACCAGTGTTGCAATATAGCATGTGTATATAAGTGTATTGTGTGTGTGACAAAACAAACCAGGGAGAAGGAGGTGTTAAAAAAGACCTGCTTGTTTTGTTAAGCACTTTGAGTTTGTGTATGAACTGTGCTATACAAATACCCTTGCCTCACATACATACATACATATACTCACAGATGAAGTTTTGTAACGTTAAACAGAAACGGTTACATGTAACACGGCTGCGGGCTGTTTGTTCCGAGATCAGAGTGATCAGTGCAGCTCGCGGAAACCACAGCCTCAGGGTCTTACGCTGCGCCGAAATATCAAAGTTAACATCAGAACTTTTGACAATCTTCCAGGTTTGTTGTGTGAAGATGCTGCAAAGATCTGGATATATCATGAAGCCATCAGTGTTAGACCTCAGCTGCAGACATGTGTTCGGAGACTATAGGCAGAAAGCATGTTTACTGGTCTTGAGGAATTCTTTATATGAATGCCCCATTATTATTAACATATGGGGGGGTCGCAGCTTTGTTTGAAATTAGAGTGTCCCAGAAAAACAAGGAAGGACCCAAAAGTAAAAAAATATAATTGAATAAATGCCACAAAAAAGTAAAAAAATTGAAAGACATGGGGAAAAGACAAGAATGGACTGACAACAAGAGGACAAGGTCTAAATCAGGGGTCTCCAACCTTTTTCAATCGGAGAGCTACTTTCATACAACATAAGAGGCAGAGAGCTACTCCTTTTTGTGATCATAATACAAATCTATGCAATGATTATGACAAATCATGAAAAACTGATGTACAAAATACCATAATACTGTATATCCCAATATTTATACTTATAATAGATATGTAATGGCTCAAAAGTGAATAATTCAAGGTTATGTGTTGAATTGTAAATCCTTTGGGGACCTACCTGAAAGGGGCTGGCGAGCTACTGGTAGCTCTCTAGCTACAGGTTGGATACCCCTGGTCTAAATACACACAAGGAGACACAGAAACAGGACGGACAGGAAGTCAAACTCAAACTCAAGAGAACAAATAAATATATCAAAATAACCCCAGGTAAAAACAAAACAAGTCCACAGCATGACAGAGTGGGTCTGAATACTTCTGCTCAGTCTAAAGAAAAGATAAAATAAACTTTATTGATCTCATAATGGAGAAATGTACAGGTCCTACAAAAGACTTAACACTCAAATGAAGCAACTGTTTTGAATCAGAATCATTTCTATTTCCATGTAAGTAGAAAGTCACAGACTGGGAAATTGCTTCGGCTCTCGGTGCAAACAAGTCTAAAGTAGAGAAAGAATATGGCATAATAAAAAATGTCTAAAGTATGACATTGTTAATATGGAGTTGTCCGCAGCACAGAGGCACAAAACCAAAGAGAGTAATGTCGGTCCTGGAGCAGTGCTGTGGACAAACTTACAGCTGAAATACAACCTTATTTAGGCTTCTTACATTATTATTTTTTTTTTTTTACAGAAAGAGTCCTTTGATGGAGTCAGGCCACAATATGCTCTCTTCATCAAAATTCAAGATTCAAGATTTAGTTCCGGTTCCAGTAAAACCTGTGCACCATACAGAGCAGATAGTACACACCTGAGCTCTTGCTACACAAAACATTGTATCTCTACACACTGAGAGCTGAGTGAGGTCGGTTTAAGTTGTGGCAAAGACCAACAATTCAGGCATTGCCAATGAAAAACAATGACAGACCAAACAATTTTCAGAGCGAGGAACTAGTTTCATGGATTATAATGCAGTGTTAAATATTGTGGATTCAACGTTAGGTTCTGCCCTGGACCTGTGTGTGTGTTTGTATTTATCTGTTTTGTTTTTTTGTACAAGAAATGATAGAAAAAAAGCACGCTGAGATTTACTATGTCATTTGCAACGTCACGGGCTATTCTGAATGACATGGCATCACATGAAATGACATGAGATTACGTTACAGATTCTCTGCAGTGATCCGCGCCTCTACCTTATTAGAAACACGAACTCGCGCATGCGCTCTTCGCTTGAGGGTCACGCGAAACCGCATTACACGTTTCTCTCCTCCACCAAACTGAGAAAAACAACAGCAGCGCTCCGGTTAAAAGTCCTGTCTCGGGCTCACACCAGGGAAAACATGCAACCTTCCTCCACACACACCCTCTTCGACCGCCTCATCCCCGCTGTTTTCGCCGCAGTCACCCGTTAAAACAGTCACGCGTGGGAGCCAACTACTCCGGGATTACTTTCATCATCCCCACGGCGGAGGGACACAGCGGTGGGATGGGTTGTGAAGTGTCCAAGATGGCGGCGCCCTGTGGAGTGGAGCCACTATAACAGGTAAACAACTCCAGATTTCCCCCCGCAAACGTAACTTGTTTTCGCGGTGACGAGCGCACACCATCCCGGTTGTGGAGGACTACGCTCTGGGCTTGCTTTTCACCCGGGTAGAGGGCCGTGTCATGCGGACTGAGAGCCGGTGTTTTCCGCTCGGCTAACGCTAGCTCCGTGCGCTGTCGCTGTGGACGAAGCTGGAGCGACTTGTTTTTGGAAAGCGCCTGATTGAATAGGGAGATGTTGTTGTTGTTGTGTTTATCCGGACACAGGGGGCTGAAATGCGTTTTGTGGTGCAGTGGATGGACCGTGCGTGGAAGCCGGTGCGTGGGCGTGCTGTGTGATCGGATAAAGCAGCGTTAAAGCGAACCCTGCCATTGTTCTCTGCGAGTTGTTTACGACAAGCAGCAGTGGTCAGAATGCATGCTGCTGCTTCTACTGCATACAGGGACCAGACAACCAATGCATGTCAAGCCAAAAGCCATCGTCAACATCTTCGCAGCCGCAGATGAGTAACTGTGTATGCTGTCGGCCTGCACAAGTCTCGTTTGTAAGTTTGAATGGGGGGATGTTGTCAATTAAAGTGGGGCTGAAATCGTGTGTGATTATTATATGCGTTGTCATGGGGAGCAACTGACAAAATGCACGTTGCTTGTATACGTTCCAGTCTACATTCAGTGATTAAAAGGCATAATCACTGAATTCACCACATTTTTATGGTTTATGTGAGGCAAGGCAAATGTATGTATGGCCCAGTTCTTACTCAACTCAAAAGTGCTTTGAAAAGGTCCCACAAAGCATTAAAATGATAATCAAAGTACAATGAAATGGGCCTGGTGAGTACTGGGATGGGAGACCTCTGAACACCAGCTGCCAAACTGTTGATGTGTCCTTTGGCAAGACACATCGCCCAAAGTACCTTGAATGAGTCTGGTCTGGGAGGGGATGATGGTATACTGGTTGCCTCGCTTCTGTCAGTGTGCCCCAGGGCAGCTGTGGCTACAGTGGTAGTTTATCACACCCGTGTATAGAGTGAATGAATAATGGCGTCCGAAAAAGCACTGTATACAAGCATTCATTCATTCATCCATTGCATTCATGCATTGTTTATATTCGTGACTGGCCTACAGGCAAAATATGTGGACTCTCTCAGAACTGAAATTACTAGAAATCTCAGAGCAGTAATTTTGACAGGTACCAAATCAGTGGTATTCCTGGAAAAAGAAAATCTGTTTTTGTTTTTGTTTTTCACCAGTTTTATTGAATTAAAGCAATTCAGAATGTTTTTACCTTTACTCAGTTTTAATAAGAGCATAATGAATGAGTGAATACAACTTGAAATATAGATGCACTGTTGATATGAATGCTAACTGTCGGCTTGTAAACAGTGTGTTGCTGTGGTAACTAGCACTTACAAGACCGGTCCAGGACCAGTCCAGGTTTACCACCTTGAAAAAAGTGTCTTCACCTGGCATAGAATGTTAGTTGCCAAACAACAGAAAATGGCTTCATTTGAAGTTAACTTTGTTAAAGGTAGAACTAGAACATAAAAACAAAACATCCTTCCATTCATTTTCTTCCCCTTAATCCATTTCTGGGTCGGGGGTGGCAGTCAGAGCTTCACCCAGTACTGCAGGTGGTGAGTCCACAGGAGCCTTGATCTTTCAGTGGGAGCTTCAGGCAAAGTGGGGTTAAGTGTCTTGTCCAAGGACACAACGACAGCAGTCATCAGTGGGGAACAAAACATACTTTTATAAAAAAGAATAGCATAGAAATAAACAACAAATAGAGAACAAAAAAGTTAGAATAGCCAAAAATGGACATAAGCTGAGTAATTACACTTCCAAAACCATAAGCCGTCAAAGGGACTGCTCTGGGAGTCCTTGTGTTAACCATGCACATGTTTTCTCGCTCTCGGTGCAGTGAGCTGTCGCTGAAACGTGTCGCATGTTGTTTATTGTAAGCAGTGACAGAGCATTATTTTGGGCCTGGACTTTCTCAGTTTGTGACTCAGCTCAACATCAGATCTTTCCTCATCATTGCGCAGGAGGAAGCTCTAACCGCAGAGATAAGAAGAGGACCTTTATTTGTATCACAGTGGGGACATTTGAGTGTTGCAGCTCACATCAAATAAGTGTGTAATCATAGCAATGCAAGATTACATTTTTTAAATTACCAAATCAGATTTAATTCAGCACAGTACTTTCCAGCTCAGTAAGAGGAATAAAACAGTTTTAGAATTATGAAAATCGGATAAGTGGTTATGATTTTATTACCATATTGATAAGTGCTTTTAGGCGCTTATAGTGAAAGTAATTTGGTTTAAAACAAAGGGATACTGTGGAACCTTCTATTCAGCCAGTTCAAGCCTTTATTCATCTTCTAAGTGCTGTAACTTCCCTATTTTACTAACTATAAACATTAAAATTCACAGTAAAGAAGGAAACAATTCAGGGATGTTGAATTCGATATTCATTTTACAATTTGGCCGACCCCGATTCCAATATGGCCGCCAGCTTATCCAAGATGGCTGCCAACATGAAATCCGGAAAACATTTTTTTCAAACTACTATGTAATATATCAAAATAAAGGTAATTGATGGAGCAATCTAAATATGATGCTTAGAAATGTTTTTGGCATATGCACACACACACACGTGTTATTTATGAGACTAAAATTACAGACCTCAGCTTTAAACATGTGTTATTTATGAGACTAAAGTTACAGACCCGAGCTTTAAACATGTTATTAATGAGACTAAAGTTACATACCTCAGCTTTAAACATTTTATTAATGAGACTAAAGTTACAGACCCGAGCTTTAAACATGTTATTAATGAGACTAAAGTTACAGACCTCAGCTTTAAACGTTATTAATGAGACTAAAGTTACAGACCCCAGCTTTAAACATGTGTTATTTATGAGACTAAAGTTACAGACCTCAGCTTTAAACATGTTATTTATCAGACTAAAGTTACAGACCTCAGCTTTAAAAATGTGTTATTTACGAGACTAAAGTTACAGACCTCAGCTTTAAACATTTAATTAATGACACTAAAGTTACAGACCTCAGCTTTAAACATGTTATTAATGAGACTAAAGTCACAGACCTCAGCTTTAAACATGTGTTATTTATGAGACTAAAGTTACAGACCTCAGCTTTAAACATGTGTTATTTATGAGACTAAAGTTACAGACCTCAACTTTAAACATGTTATTTATGAGACTAAAGTTACAGACCTCAGCTTTAAACATGTTATTTATCAGACTAAAGTCACAGACCTCAGCTTTAAACATGTTATTTATGAGACTAAAGTTACAGACCTCAGCTTTAAACATGTTATTTATGAGACTAAAGTTACAGACCTCAGCTTTAAACATGTTATTAATGAGACTAAAGTCGCAGACCTCAGCTTTAAGCATGTTATTTATGAGACTAAAGTTACAGACCCGAGCTTTAAACATGTTAACAACCCAAACACCCTTGTTAACATGTAAAATGGATTAGTCCAACCAATGGCATTGGTCCGTTTGGGCCACGTGACTCGCGTTTCTACCCCCCGGAAAAGTGGGCTCGCCCGGCCTTGCGTGCCGCTTCAGCAGCAGAGCAGAGTGTGTGATGAGCGCGGCGGTTTTTCAACTTTATTCACTGATCCGCGGGTCAAAACAACCGTGACATGATTCAAATATACCATCATTCTAAAGCTTATAATCTTAGATGTATGTGTGTGGTGTTGGTTTTCCAAAACCCCGGTTACTTACCGTGTATTTTGCTATTAAGTTCGTCGGATTATATCTCCGTAACCGCAACAGCTGGAGAGATGCCGCTTTCACCGTAATGCGCAGTAATAAGTGATCTGTTTACCCGGTAAATATCACCTCGCGGCGACGTCATTAACCCGCGCGGAATGCCGAGGATATCCCGACTCATTTTTTTTCAGAGTCCAGACTATCTGTGGCCCACTCTGCCTCATATTCGTCAACTTTATTAATTCATATCTCAGGAAATAAACGGAATATCAGAACAATCCACACATTTATGGATTCTATGAATAAAAATATGTTTATTGATAGTGGTGGTAGCTATATATTCTGATTATTTAGCTGCTCAGAATCAAATGAACTAAAGTGAGTAAGACAGCGACCTCTTTTCACCACAGCGTTTCCACTGAGTCTTGCATTGCTAGTAATCAAAACACTCAAGAACAGATGAATAGCTGTAATATTAGAGATTAACTTTGTGTCGATGGAAGCCCGGTTTCCACCAGCCCCTTCTTGGTCCTACTCTACTCTGCTCTATTCTACCATTCCATTATGCTTAGTATCTGGTACTGTTCCTGGCGACCATAACAACGCATTGGTTTTATATAATGTATCTTGGTGACAAATCTGCCATTGGAACTAATGCCCATTTGATGGAATTTGTTTAAGGTAGCTCATGGCTGGTTTCCATTTTATAGTCCACAAATTGTAATAATAGAATAATAAAAGCAGTTAATATTTAATAAATAAATAACACTCTAAATTTGGAATCAGTTCCTCACAACAACTCAGGGTCTAAGGACAATGATGATCCAGGACATTTCTGAACAGTGGTCCTCCATTTGCTCCAATGTTTTATTGCGTTTCCTGTGTGAGGACTTTACAAAGTTGTCAAATCCTCCACAACAGATAAGAGAATCAGAGTTGTGATGTAGAGCTATATAGAAATTGAATGTTATAGTTTGCGTTGGAATCCTCACACACATTGATCTAATCCATCCCCCCCACCTCTAAACAGGTGTGCTTTTATTTTCATCATGATATCAAAATCTGTATTGACCTTGAATCTTTCTCCAGAATATTTGTTTTTTCTGTTTTTAATCCCAGCCCCAAACCACTCGAGGCCTGGTAAAAAGCAGGACATAGCTGAGAGTAGGTGCACACAATAGCCGCCTGTGAGTCTCGCCGAACCAGGTCTCATGCCCTCGCTCTTCACAGTCCACAGGAAGTTTTCAGTGTGCCCCTAAAAGCGTCTTTGTGCTCGTCTTCTTGTTGTCTTTGTGTCGGTGTGCGCTGACCCAGAGCCTGTCTAAAAACACAGTCAGGTTCAGCAGCAGCAGCAGCAGCAGTAGGACCAGGACCTGCCCCCAGCCCGGACAATCGCCCAGTCGTCCGCCCGACTCAAAACAAAGGGCAGTGTTTTTCCCCCCTCCGGCTGATAACAGACATATGACTGCTGACGGATCCGTGTGAACTCCAGGGCCGTAGCTAACAAGTGCTGCGGTAAATTCGTTATTCAAGCCATAATGCTTTTGTGCAGTCAGTGTTTCGGTGCATAAACCACATTTTCTCTGCGATTACCCATCAGAAATGTTTGCAGCGCTCCAACTCCAAATGAAAGAAGTGATTTGATCTTGTTAAGTTGCCAGCGATCGTTCAACTTGTTTTTGAGCTCCTGCAAACGACATGTTCTGTATTTGGTGGCATTTAAAGTAGCAGTATGTAAGATTTTCATGTCAAGTCATCATTAAATGGTTCTAATCTGTCAAAAGACATTAATAAAACATGCTCTTTTCAAATACTTCTTTAACTGATTAGAGTAGTTCAATCGAGATATTCAGATTTCATTATTAGTTTTACAGCCCGTAAATCTGGTTATTGTTTTCATTTAGATGTCCCGCACTCCATCGTTTTACCAATCAGAAAGTCCATGATCCGGGTTGCCAGAATTCACTGCGTCAAGCTAATCTCACTGGTTAAGTAACATGTGGCTGCAGAACTAGAAAAAATAATAAATCGAGGAATAAAACAAGGATTTCTGAGTCAGGGAGAGTGGAAAAAGTTGCAGTACCATTTTTGGCCAGATTTTGTGCATACTGCTCCTTTTAAGATGCTTGAGGCCACTTCCGCCGGAGATAGTGCTGCGGTTTTTGGTCAAAATACATTGACCAGAAGTATCCAAACCTTTTAGGAACACGGCCACTTTAGTTCAGCAAAATTGTTTAGGGGCCTGAAAACACAGCTAGACTGGATTCGGGCTGTTCTGAGCTTTAGAATTAGGTACGACTTGTCTAAATTGGTTCACATTTTACAGTGCTGAAGTTGGCTGAAAGACAAATGTTTACTCATCGTTGGTAATGCCTCGTGACAAGGCGAAAAGTGAAACTCAGAAAGAGCCTTATTCACTCAGACATGATTAGAATGGACAGAAAAACAAATGAGGGAAAAAGCTCAGATTATTATCTTTTTAAAGGTCACAGAATAAGCAGTCACAGTGGCCAAAGTAGTATTTTACAGCCGCTGTGTGAATGAATAATAACAGTTTTAAAAAGCCTTGCCCAATTTAAGGACATTTTTATAGGCAAAGTCTTAGAACTACAGCTGTGGGTGTGGATCCCTCTCTCAATATGGTCCTCCCCAAGGTTTCTCACTTATTAGCCTCTACGTATATATATTTTAGTTGTTAGTAGTTCCTTTCCTGTTGGAGGGTCTAAGGACAGTAATGATCCAGGATGTTTATGAGCATTGATGTGCAGTGGTTCATCCTGCTCCCTATGGACCAATGGCGCCTATGTGTCATTATTTCATTTCCTTTGTTCGATGCTTGTTCCCGTCTTTGATTCTCTTATCTGTTGTTGAGGAATCGACAACGTGGTAAAGTCCTGCTGTTGTAACCTAGGGCTAAACAAAACAAAATAATTGAATTGACTGAAGATCAGACCACAGAGCTCTTCTCTCACTAAAGCCTTATGAAAGTGACTGTAAATGTACTTATGTCCAGTCCCTCTCTTCTCTGGGGCCCGCGCGGGTCAGCTGACTGTAATCCTCTGTTCCAGTGGTGCCTGCAGACTGTAGCGTGGGCGGGGCAGGCCGGCGGACCCCCCTCACCTTCCACCATGTCCCGGGAGCAGCCCAGCGTGGGGGACCTGCTGCCCCACCTGGAGACCTCCGACCTCCAGCAGCTCGACGAGATCCGCGGCCTCATCAACGAGCAGCTCTGCACCGGTAACGCCACCCGGAACATTTATCTGCACTGGTTTGATAATAGTTCAGTTCTAACGGCTTCAACTGGAGCTGGGCAATCGATACAATTCAATATATATATAAAAGACAAAAGTAGAAATTTGTGTATAGCGAGTTCCGGGTTCTTGGCTTATCAATCTGTAATCGGACAATCTCTTGGAACTTTGAAGAAATTGGCCAAATTCTAGACCCTTCTGTGTTGTGAAAATGTACGTTTGAAATCAGACTGCATATAGATGGACAATGCTAACCCCCGTAGCTCAATGAAGGCCAATATGGAAGGGCTCAGAGACAAAGTTTTGCTGTGGCTCCTATTGACTTGCATTGAAAAGTGAACTCCTCTTGCTCAGTAACTGTCTGTGTCTCACGCTAAAATCAGTGTTTGTGATCCTAGTCAATTCACTCGGCTGCCTTCATTCGTGGGGGAAACTCCAGCTTGCCATAGCAACCATATTAGCAACATGGTTACGGCGCATAGCTAAGGCTATCGTAACAAATGCCCATATATGTAAATTGGCTCCAGCTAGTTTATCTTCAAATCAGCCTCATCCGCATTCAGAAGACACTCAAAAGGGTCTCGCAGGTCGGGAAACAGAATTTGATTGTAACGACTGTTTTACGTATGACTCTAATCCCAAAACGGTTTTATATCATTATTGCTGGCTGCTTTGTGACATGTTTTCTCCCGCCGTCCGGTCTGAGAGCCTCGCCCTTTCTCCCACAGAGCGAGGGTCCATGCTGCTGAACGCTTTGGTCGACTACTACTTGGAAACCAACTCCGCCCAGGCCTTGCATATCCTCTGCTCCGTCAGAGAGCCGCACGATAAGGTGACAAAATCAAATATCTATGACTGTGTATATTGTCAGTATTGTCTGTTTTATTTTCAGGCGTTAACCCCTCCCCTCCATCTCATTCCTCATGCTCCCTTCCCTTCTGTAAATGTGCACTTCCTGTTTCTTCTTTTGCTTCTTTTCCTCAACTGCATATTGTTAGGGATGTCTGTTTATTCTATCATGTTCATGTTTCTATCATCAGTTCTCTTCACATCTGCAAACGGGAAGAGAGCGGTATATCTGAACTAGGACTTTTCTTTGTTTCTCTTTTTCTGCATATTTGTATGTCTGCAAAAGATTTAAATCAAGTTACTTTCACCTCAAGACATTCTGATCTTGCGTCGCAGTGTGTTTAATTGACCAGATACACATAGCTAGCTGTGTCTGCATGTCGTTGTCATGCCCAAAGGATCCTCGCAAATATGCAGCTCCAGTCAAACCACATGGAACATGTTTGTGTTGTGTAAGTAAGTAAGTAAGTAATCTTTTATTTATATACCGCCTTTTCACTGCAGATCTGAGTCTCAAAGCGGTTTACAATTGTTAATTATGGGCATTTATCTCTCACTCCACACAGAGATGGGAGCGGGGTCGCCAGTACAGGAGGCGCATGCTAGAACTATTGGACATATTTTTAGTGGTAGGGGAAACCGGAGTACCCGGAAGAAACCTACGCAGACACGGGGAGAACATGCAAACTCCACTCAGAAAGGCCCTGGTCCGACCGGGATTCGAACCCAGGACCTTCTTGCTGAGAGGCGAGAGTGCTATCCACTCAGCCACCGTGTTCTTGTCATTAGATCAGCTCCACAGACATCACTTGTATTTAAACTTTAGCGGAGACCTGCGAGACGCGGCTCGTCACTCGGCCTCAAAATCCAATCACTGCTTTATTTGTACATTTCAGCAAATATTTACTTTTCGGATGTGTTCTTCCCGTGTTACTTGAATTCTTTAATGTTTGTGTAACCCTTCTTAACTGAGTAGTAGGAAAATCCAGGAATCTGTGAATCTACTTATCAAAAAAAAAGTTTCAAAAATACATTCAAACCTACTCAATATGGGTTCTATAGGTTCGAAAGGAGACTGGCAGTAATGACTCAATCATGAGCGTAAAAAACCCTCCAACCGCAATTGACACACAGACAACGACATAAGAATGAAATGTTCTATTCAAATGATGAACAAGTAAATCTCCTCAAAAATAAACATGGGCATGAACAAAAAAAACATGTGTGAATCTCTTTAAATTTGTTCTGTTCACCTCCCAAAATGTTTCAATACTGTCCCTTTAAGTGTCCAAAATGCACAGAATCACTGTCCGTCTCAGCTGAGTGCACGATATACTCACAAGTTGGTTGGTATTTGAAAAGTCAATTGTCAGTTTTTTTGTATGGTGTCAGGCCTGACCCAAAAAAAAGTAGCAACAAAACAAAATATATCTGAGATCTCAGAAAAACAAAACAAATTATCCTCAGAACTGTGGAGAATCTTTTCCGTCCTACCACCCTTTTAGGAACCAAGTGGTCTTCGGATATGGAGCTTCCTGCGTGGACATCTCATGTAGCATCCAGTCCTTAGATGGCACCTTAGCAGATTCTATCATAAAAAAAAACCAGCCTGCACACAAAATGTGCAGTCAAATCACTAAACATGTAAAATATAAATGGGAAAAAAAAACAAATTTAAACATTTATATTCACATTGTACAAAAAAATATAATCACATTTCCATTTCAGTAAATCCTTTTCATATCTAAAACAATTCTTATTGGCTATAAGCAACTATACATCAAAAACAAAAACATCCGTGTTAATCAAAGGCTTGAAAAACGAATTTGCATAGTATGAAATCATGACACCACGCACGTGGAGGTTAGCTTAGATTTCACATGCAATGTATTAGCTTAGGAAGCACATGTGGGTGCGTTAACTTTTTCTTTTTCAACTCAACCACGGCTAATGAGTCACTAGCAGCTTATCACAACCACATTGTTCAAAAATCAACTTATCCTGACTGGTTTTATAGCTCTACCGTACGTAAATCACATTTCACAATCGCAATATGTACAACACTCACCAGGATTTTCAACATATATTCATTTCAAAATCCACTGCTCAACAGGTTACAGGATTCCACAACACTGTGGTGCATCTAAAACACAAATGTACAGCTCAAAACCATGTTTTCAAAGAGCCATTTTACTCATTCGACACCAGGAGAATATGCAGAGAAATTTACCTCGCTCCGTGCAGACAGATGTCGGAAAAGAAAGCTAACTAGCTCTGAGCAGCGAGTTGCCGCGAGTAGCGCTACGCTGCATTCATAGAACATAGGAAAAACAATACTCAACCAAAAAATGTAAACTTTGAAGAAAAAATAAAATAAAATACTCTGATTATAAAAACATAAAATAACCATGGGTTACATTTGTGCATGTTTTGCAAAGATTTGTGAAGCGCTGTTATTTGGATCTACGCTGTCTCTATCAATAGATGCCCTGGCAAGAAAAACATTGCAGATCATTATGTGTAAAAGTGATTGATTTTAAATATATCGTGACAATATCGTTATCGGCAGTTGGAAAAAAAATTTTGATATTTATTTTTGCTCATATCGCCCACCCCTGATCGTAATGGCATGATTGGTATTTGTTAGAAAATAGCCAAGACCACCAACAAGACAATTGAATATTTAGAGACTTTTTAATTTTATTTATTTGTATGATTTGTGCTTTTACAAATACATTTGGATTGATCCTCGAGTGCTTTCCACTTTTGTATAGCTCATGTCAACAATAATTTTTTTTAAACGAGCTGAATTTCTGAGTGTTTTCCTCTCGCTGCCTGAGGTCACCACACATGAGCAGCCTTTCGCAGAATTGACCAAAAATAACCGTTGTTTCCGGGGATCCGATTGGAACCGGCAAACGCACCGTGCTCAAAACGACAAATTGTGAAATGTCTATTGGCGAAAACATGTTGGGAAAAATGAAGGCTCTTGTCGTTTGGGGAAAAATAGCTGCTCAATCATTCATTCCTCTCATGAATGATTGCTGCTCAGTCTGTGGTGGGGGTTCCTCTGCCCTCAGCCACGGCTCGCAAAGTTGGTTAAGTGTTAAAAAATGCCCTGGAAATGCCTTGGAAGAGTTCAAACTGTTTAATTCTCTGATCTGTGTTGGCGAATTCAACGGTTTTGTTAAGTCCTCAAAGATAACATGATTTAGGACTGACAAAAATGAATTGGAATTTAAATGGTCTTAAATAGCTCTGCATAAGACTATATTTTTGTAACAGTTTTTTTTAATCCAATATGTATTCGTACCGATTAAGATTGGGTTGTGAAGCACTTTGGGTTAAATTTGATGGATTTGAAAAGAAAACAGTCTTTCAGATCACATGTGCGAATCATGCATGTCAATATTTCAGTTCATTGTGGTACTAAAGCTGGGACACCCAACTTGAACTTGTTGACTCGGATTGTCCTAAATCTGTTTTCCCCCTCCAGAGTGCAGAAAAGTGGAACAAATATAGTTGGCTACACATTCTCAATGGAAAACATCATAATTATTGCAGAGCAGAGGCAGTAGAAATGTGTGAATGTCACCCGTAGCCTTTGGATTTTCCCATGTCCTGACTATACGAGCAGTTTTTATTGTCATTATGAAAAGTCCAAAAACTAGGCTCTTGATTTGTCTCAAGATGCAGACAAGTTATACAAGTTTAAAAATGTATATTAGACATGCATACAAAATATTCATACAATTTCTTAAAATTGAAATGACTACAGCACACTATGTAATATTTTATCGTCCTTCGTAGGGAATCTGTCCTCATCTTCTGTAGGGCCCTAAATCACAGCAGTAGTTGTGTCAGTGCAGCTCCCACTGAGAGCAAATATGTCATTCATTCATTTTCTTCCACTTAATCCATTTCTGGGTCGGCGGGTGGCAGTCAGAGGTCTTGTGGTGGGCTCAACCCCACAACCTTCAGGCTCAAGGGCCAATGCTCTACCAACTGAGCCGCTGTCGCTCCCATAATTTTAATTTAATTTACATTAAAGGTTGATGTCCACTAGGGGTTCACCTGTTTGTTACAACAGCCTCCGATGACGCTGTTGAATGTCCCGTCTCTGTCTTTGCAGCACCTTTTGGAGAAGATGAACGAGTGTATGACCAAACAGAGCTGCCGGCTGCCCACCCTCACCCTCCTGGGCCACGTCATCCGCAGACAGCCGTCCTGGATCCACAAGATGGCGCGGTACCCCCTGCTCCTGTCGCTGCTCAAATGCCTCAAGGTACCAGCCTCCCCTCAGCCTGCAGCCCCGACCAACAGGACGTCCAACTGTCCATCCGTTTCCTGCCGTTTCATCTTTGGTTCAGGACTATCAGAGGCATTTCTCAGCTGTGGCAAAGACTGACAAGTTTTGTGCTTGGGGGTCTTCTAAATGTTGCCAGTTAAATTAACTCACTCTAGATGCTTATTTCAGAACATGCGAGCACCGAACATAATGACACACGTTTTAACATTGGATTGGATGAAGCAAAAGCTGATAAACTTCTAACCCCTTCATTCAAAACAGAGACAAGATAGGAATTCAAGAACAAAAACAACTGTAGAAAAGTAACGCAATACAATTTCATTTTGCAAGATGGAGAGACACACTGTACACACACACCCACACATGTGCGATAAACACAGGAAACGGCAAAAGCCACTTGTTACTCACTTCATGTGGAAAAAATGAAGTTGCATTTTGCTGTTATCATCACCCAAACGCTGTCATCAGCAAATCCGCGACATCCAGAAAAATATCACAGCCACAAAAACATCCTCAGGGCTCGGCCGGTCGGGAATCGGGATGATTACTAAATCACTATTTTTCAATAACTGATGCTTAAAACAATAGGTTTTGTAGGGATTGCTCAATTTATGCTGTATATATCAGCCATAACCTCGGCCCACCATGACATGTTATAACTTTTTCTAGGCAGAACTACCACATTATTCATTTAAGTCTAAACAACAATAACAAATCATTTAAAATAATTATTACCAAACAATACATTTGAAATTAACCATTGGCTAAAAACCAATATCGATAATCTCTTGCATCTTACTGTTGATCATGTGTACATTATATTTTCAATAGTGGAGAGATTATAGCCATTTTCTTTCTCGATTCCGTTTCAGCCTCAGAGGGTTCTGTGTGTCTTGGCTCAGGCTGTTTTAGAGGAAATAAAAATAAACATATCTTCTTCATCAGTTTGATTCCTTCACTAGCTTTCACATGTATTTATCTTTGGCTTCGGCCTCATTTTTAGAGCCGCTTTTTACTACCAGCCATCACTGAACATTTATTTTATTGTTTTTAATGTAATTTTCAAATCACGTAGCTGGTATTGTATTTTTTTTATGCATTTTTTTTTTTGCATAATGTTTTACTTCTATTTTTTTAGCGTCGCAAGCTGGCGAACCTGTATATTTAAACGTGGTTTTTTTATCTCTCTGCAGCACTTTGGAAACTTGTTTTATAGAACGGGCTATAAAAAAAATATGGGTTGGATTGGACTCAGACAATCCCCTCCGAGTGTAAAAGATTCAATAAGACAGTGAGATGAAGACAGGACGCTGTGGTCTGATTTATTCACAAAATATCTCTTTCTCCAGCTTTAGGTCAAACTTGTAATGCTTTGTCCGTGTGTTCTGTTCATATTTTGTATTCTCCTAATCTAAAAATGTCCCCATCCGCCCCCCGACAGACGGACTCGGACGTGGTGGTGCTGATCACTGGGGTGTTGGTGCTGATCACGTTGCTCCCCATGATCCCTCAGGCCGGGAGGCAGCACCTCTGGGAGTACTTTGATATCTTTGGACGCCTGGCCTCCTGGAACCTCAAGAACCCTGGTAAAAAAAACCTCTTCAAAAACACTGCATACACATTAGGGATGCATGGGTCGCATTGATTCAGATTCAGTTCTATTTGCCATTTGCAGTAAAACCCCATTGGCATACACGTGCAAAAATATCCCAGTGTGCACCAGACAAATGTATACAATAAAATAGGCTAAAAAGTACAAGAAGCAATTGTCACTGTGAAATGAATAAACATATACAGTTATACTGATAACGGCTTGTGGAAAGAAGCTGTTAGCATGTCGAGATGTCCTGCGCCTCTGCCATAGACTGTAAATATTAACGGACGTAGTCACACCTATCTCTGCAGTTGAAACTTATGTGTCACCACTTTCGCCGTCTATGGGCAGTTTCAAAATGGCTGCGGGGCCGGAAAATGTGTCAAAACGCATTTGCGCATGAATTAGCCGGCACGAGCCCCATTCATTGACGAGTGCATTCAAAATTCCACAGCGGCTAAACTATACTGGTCCAAAGAATTACAGTCCCCTCAGCATTGACTCACATCTAGAACGTAACGTAGCGTTGGGTGAAGAGCCAACTTTTGGACAATCCTGCAAAAGATCTGTTTATCCGTTTTCCAGAGGTAAGAAGATGCTATACATTAGCATTGGCTAATTCTTATTCCGGGTCCACCCTGACAGACCCAGGGTGGTATTGCAAGCATGTCAGCGCACTTCATTTAGGACATTTTTTGAGCTGGGACACTCCCCCACTGGTCTCACCCAACAATATCTTCTGCCAGAAGGGAGAAGCTGGAACATGGCTTTTCTGGGGGCCTGAAGAGCCATTGATCTTTTGAAGAGCTATGGCAATCAAATAGAAATGGCAATTTTTGTGGTCCTTAAATATGGCGTTCATTTTTATAGACTTCATTGTTTTGTGTAGGTGCCAATACTAATCTTTGGGAAAGAAGCACATTTTTAAAAAGAAAATGTCAAATTTTCTCAGATCATCATTTCATAGCGATTTTAGATTCACAAAAGCGCCATATTACTGTATCATTCTAATACTTCATGTGACTGTTTTTGAATGATGTCACCACCTCTAGACACATTTGTTTTTGAGAAAAAGTAATTAGACCATAGTTGATTTGTGCTGACTAAGCTTTTGTTTCATGTGGATTGGCTCAGGAATTAGGAAAAAGAGGAAAAAGACTAGAATGCGTTTGACAGTTACCATAGAAACCTGGACATGTTTTTCAGCGGCCCTCCACCACAGTGTGAAACTTCAGACTCTTAGGAATGTGCTGACGTGAACGCAACCTAGTAGAAAATCACAAAGACTAATTATTGATTTATATCTAAAGAAATAAAAAATCATAACGTCACTTGAAATTGGGGAAACATCTTTGAGTTTATTTTGAAGAAAATGTCAAAATGTCTATGGTCTAGTTTTGCCAGCCTCATGCCCTAATGTAGTATGATATGACCTGGGCATCTTTGAGATTCTCTCCAGGACACTTATAAAAACTAGATATTCCAGTTAGATCAAAGTCTTCACCTTAATCCTTTCTCCTTGTTTGTATTTGTTCAAACCAGGAGGGATGCAGTATTAGTTATTGGCTGGTATTGATTCTGTGCTCGCTGCTAAAGCTTGGGGCAGTGTGCAGTAAAAGCTGACAAAGAGGCTCTGAAGCAGCTAACCACATTATAACTAATGTCCTCACTTCTCATTTCACTTGTTTTGGAGGAATTCTCTGGGCACACTCCTGCAGTCAAATACAACATTTTGTGGAGGATTAAAACAAACATTTCAGTTAGACCTATTTTCTTAAGGAGGTATAATACATTTATTTGGAAGCATTGAATCCTAATCTTTGTTGGTAAACTCCTGTGTGTCTGGTTGGTCATAGCCTGGTTGTACCACTCCATTGTACAGATTTCATCTCCTACTAAGGTCTGGATTTGCTCCATTGAGCTCCGTTAACAGGTGGAAGGGGTTCATTCCTTTTGCAGACTGAAACCATTGGATCTGAGTTTGCCGTGACGTGTGTAATGCACCCGAGTGAGTTGCTAGCATTTAGCCTAGCTTTAGCCATCTCATTTTCCACAAACAGAGCCAGTGAGCAGTAGCACCACAAAATCTTTGCAAGCAGTGACATTTGCTAAACATTCCCCCTGCTTCGGCTTCAATATCTTGATAGATCCAGAACGGATGACTTTACTATTGCATTAGCCGCCATTGCCAAACTACAACCTGCCAATTCGGCGCAAACTCTTGACATCACCGACATCTACCTACAACACCCGCCTCCTATACTCGCTGAATAGTCGGATGGGATTCAACCGATGTAATTGCTAACACTGGGAGCAGACCCAGATGGTACATGTACCATCTGGAAGTGACGATTGACTGGACTTTACGGATGGCTATGGGCAGGCTAGGTTGGTCATGCTGTTCCTGTGTTTAGAGCTCTTGTCTCTGTCCTCTCCAGCAGTCCCATTCTTTCTCTGCCTCTGTCCTCACCAGCAGTCCCAGTCTCTCTCCCTCTCTGTCCTCACCAGCAGTCCCAGTCTCTCTCCCTCTCTGTCCTCACCAGCAGTCCCAGTCTCTCTCCCTCTCTGTCCTCACCAGCAGTCCCAGTCTCTCTCCCTCTCTGTCCTCACCAGCAGTCCCAGTCTCTCTCCCTCTCTGTCCTCTCCAGCAGTCCCTGTCTTACTCTACCCCTCTGTACTCCCTCAGGCCACGTGTCGGAGGTCTACCTGATCCACCTCCACGCCAGCGTCTACTCCCTGTTCCACCGGCTCTACGGCATGTACCCCTGCAACTTTGTGTCGTACCTGCGCTCGCACTACAGCATGAAGGAGAACATGGAGACCTTCGAGGAGGTGGTCAAGGTACAAACACTGGACCCACACTCACTCCAGTCTATCTATCCGTCACAGATACCAGCAACATTTGTGTTTTTCTTCGCAGCCGATGCTTGAACACGTTCGTATTCACCCAGAATTAGTGACCGGAACAAAAGATCATGAATTGGATCCGACGAGGTAATTGTATGACATATTTACTAAACGATCACAAATACCATAATATGAAGGTGTTGATTCTGATGATTGAAATGTACGGTAATTAAAGTTTATGGCCATTGTTGTAAGCCATAAATGTCCCAGATCATTGCTGTCCTTAGACCCTCCTGCACCAGCGAGGAAAAACTGAAAAAGAGCCCAATGGAGAAGTGAGAAAGCTCGGGAAGGCTCATATCGAGAGAGGAATCGGCTCTCATGGACACACAGACTTAAGGCTTTATTTACGAACACATTGTAAATAGAGCACACATCAACAGATGCAAACTGCAAATGGTAGTGTGCAAAGAGTGAAAATACCTTTCCCTAAACGTTACTGAAAGAGCAGTGTCCAGCTTACTAACAGCTATGACATGCATACTTCCTGAGCACTTGAGTCACTGCTCTTGTTTGTTTGTGTCATATTACCAAAAATGTGGTTTATTTGCTCAAGGAAATGCAAATGAGGAAATATGGCCTCATCCCCACTATTTCCACTTAAATGTTGTTAGATTTGTTTTTGATGTATTGTCTGTTCACAGGTGGAAAAAGTACGAAATCCACGACATAGTTATTGAATGTGCCAAAGTGTCTCTGGACCCAAAGGAGGCGTCCTGTGAGGAGGGGTACGCCACAATGCCCGAGAACTTCTACCCCCAGGTCCACGTGAGGCCTCAGGAGTGCACATCCAGCCCCTACGGAGACCTCCACAGCAGCTACGGTAAGTGCACGCACCGCCCTCTGATGCTCTGGTCCTGGAGTCCAGCACCAGCATCTGGAGAGGGGTCCCTTGATGCTGCTCCTGACAGAGGCTTAGTGGCTTTGAAGGATGGGTCTAATGCAGAGGACACATTTCCCTATGGCGACAGTAAAGTGACTTCATTGCAGTTACCCAAGTTCAAAATGATCCTTATTGTCCCACGAGGGGAAATCTGTTCTGCAGCAAGCCAATAATCAAATTATAAATTGTTGCATTTATAAACACTCTTTGGAGATTACTACACAATTAGCTGGTTCCAAAATATTATTACTATTTACGGTGACACTACGATTGTTTCTGTATTCACACCTTTTGATTTTTGATTTGATTTTATTCATTCGAGCAGAAACTTCACAATCACAAGTATTTACAATATTTACATTCCTTAGTTTACATGATTCTTTGTACATGTTGCCTGCTGTACTAACAGTATATACTAAAATATATAAACATAACTATACAATCAAGCAAAAATTGCTCTAGTTTCACCATGTGATGTATATCTACAATATGAACACCTTGAGGACAGAATAGAAAGCAGATAAAGTGAATTATCAATGAACACATTGTGATTCCACATTGTTCTTTCTTCTTCAGTATTACACATCATTGTTCATTGTACAGTCTGGCCCATAGACTGTATATATTAATGGACAGAGTCACGCCTATCTCCGGTGTTCTAACTAATGGGCCAAAGGTTGTGCTCTACTGGAGCTATCCAAAATGGCTGTGAGTGGTCACGCCCACAAGAAAATTGTGAAAAAACGCATCTGCGCATGCGTCAGTCGGCGCAGCTCCATTCATTTGAACGAGAGACTTCAAAAATTCACAGCGAGTAAACTAGAGTGGACCAAAAAAATTCACCCCCCTCAGCATTGACACACATGTGGAACGGAGCTTTGGGCCAAGAGCCAACTTTTGGACCATCCTGTAAAGACGTTTTCGAGAGGTCTGATATAGCATTGGCTAATTCTTCTTCTGGGTCCACCCCCATCGGCCTAGGGTGGTATTGCAAGCATGTCAGCGCACGTCATTTTGGCCACTTTTGAGCCGGGACCCGCCCCCACTGGTCTGGCCACAACAGGAAGGAAAGACCCATGGAACCTCCTTCACACTGAGGGTGGAGCCGTCTTTCACTGATGCTGCTTTCCAGAGCAGACTGTTCTGTAGGAGGGCGTTAGTCAGTGTGCAACATAGATGTCCTCCACCTGTTGCATTGTGTCCAGATCCATGACCTTCACCTTTGTCAACAATGTCATATTAAGTCAATCTTGTTCTTGTTGTTGTTCAGATTCAGCAGGATTTTTAACCACAATCAAACAGATTTCCATAGAAAATGTTTTCTTTTATATCAACGTTGTTTATTATAAGGCTTGGAGTATTGTTTAAATGAGTTACTTCTTGTGGTTTTGCCTCTGGGCAGAGCACAGAAAACAACTGTTTGATGCACTTTTTATGATTTCCTGCTCAGAAAATCTACATTCCATGTGACTAGGATAGATGAGGTCACTGCAAATTATGATGTTTTTCAGTCCTCCCATTTATCAGCTGCTCCTGATTTTAAGATGAATATTAACAACACAGAGAAAATACACACGACACGTCGTTGCAAAGTGATGGCGGAAACATAACTCTCTATTTACACAGTAATTCATAATATCTCATAAACACAGAGCTACACATTTTACATTCCCCTCGCACTGTCCTTGTATTTCCCCCAAAAACACACCTATGTGACCTAAAGGACACCGAGCAGACTTGTGGGAGCTGCATGGGGGTCTGAGGGGTCTTCTCTCCGCCTGTTTAAAGATTGATTCAGACTGTTTGTCTTGTTGGCGACAGGGAGCTCCTCTTCGACCCCGTTCTCCACGCCACGGCAGCCGCAGCCTCCGCCCCTGTCCTTGCCCCCCTTCTCAGGGACGCTCTCCTCCTACCGCAGCCCACAAACCTCCAGACGCCAGGTAAGAGCATCCATTACGCCCTCAGCGCCTGTCACCGATGCAGCTCCGAGACACCGGATTTGGCTGTAAATGATGACTGAGGTTAGAGCCGAGAGCTTAAGCCGTGTTTGCCTCTCACTACTGTTGTTTATTTCACATATATCATCTGTCACTTGTTATATTCCCTCAAAATATAGCCTTTTCAAATGTCTTAAAGTCACAGGAGCGCACACTTTGGCCCTGGAAACTCTCCCGTGGGCCGCTTGCAGCTGAGACTGTAGTATTGGGTCAGCCACATGGTGAGGGTGCAGGGACTAGTGGAGAGAAGTGTGAGAATGTCATTTTCTCTGCAATTCATATATCATTCAGATCATATCCTATAGTACAGGTATAAATAGACACCCCAAAGGCGACTTACATTTGTGAATTAAAAGCTCAAATAGTAATGACCTCAGAGGTTCATTTGTCTTTCAGAAGCAAACATGAGAACTTAAAAAAACAAATGTGTTTCTGTCAGTGGGTTCAGCTTTGGAACAACCCGACCACACATTTAATGTCTTTGAGGACAATGCTATAAAAAATATAAAGCACCAGAAGTTAAAAAAAACTGGTTCTCAATATATTAAAAATGATAGTAGGACAACATGTATATTTTATAAGACGTTGTGAGTGTTGTGACCATGGTATCTGTTTAACCACTCGGCTTCTACGTACACGGCTGTAATATGTTTTGTAATACTTCAGTCTTACTTATTTTATGTTTTGTATGATTGGATTTTTGTCATGGAGTTTAGGTGCAATAAGGGACAGACTTCAGCCCGACCTGTTCAGTTTGGTTAGGTAATTGTTTTTTTGACGAATGACCGAAAAAATGAATAAACTAAGCTAATAAATAGATACAGATCAATAGTTATTTTGATCTGTATCTTAAAATGTAATGTAATGGTTGTATTGTTTTAAGGCTGATTAGCTGGAGGAGTCTTTCATACCTGCTTTGTGCTTTTCCGCAGAACTCCACCTGTGAACTCCACTCCTCCTGTGGCGGGAAGGACCCCCTGTGGAGCCCCTCCTCCATGTGTGGGATGGCCACGCCCCCTTCGTCCAGAGGCATGTCGCCCAACCTGGAGCTGTCGCACAGCGCCTCTCATCTGCCCAGCCGCTTCCACTGCACTTCAGGTACTCGCCACAAAAATATGAGACGGAATTGCATCGAGCTTTACAATAATCTACAAAAGTCTTTCTCTAGCCTGTGCCGCCTCCTCTTTTTAGCATATGTTAAAGAAAACTCCCAACTATTTTATATGTAATAAATTAATTAGTCCGTCACGCTCAAAACAGTTTGCTTCTATCAACTTCTTTAAATCAACTTTTTCAGGCAGAAAAAGGAAAAAGGGAGGACCACCCTCTCTCAGCCAATCAGCTCTTTGCCCCAAACCTCCATTTTTTACTGACATTTATTTTATTCTTTTACATGGTTGCAAACGCCATCTAATGACACAAAGACATCATGTTGGGGTCGGATTTGTTCACTGTATTTAACTTTTGCAAGACTTTTTCTGTAGGGACAGACATCATGGATTTCTTGCATACCTCAGCTTTATTGTATGCAGCAGTGGTGTTCGAGATGGCACTGGAAGTTGTTGGAATAGAATTGCATCTATGTCTCATACACAATAACATCTTAATTCAACACATCAGTAGTTTTACACTTGCACAAATACATTGTGAAAAAGTAAAATTTTAGCTCCTGCTCAAAATACGATGACACCAGCCAGATAAACTCTCCAGCCCATAATATCACGAGCAAAATAATTGTGCTGTGACAGAGTGCTTGTGTGTTTCCAGGAGGGAAAGGCACTCCCGCCTCCAGCACTCCGGCCACCTCCTCCCCTCCTCCCACTCTGTTAGACGACTTCCCCATCATCTCCTTACCCTCGAACACGGTCCAGTCCAGTCCCCCCCGAAAGGTGAGCAACAAACCTTTTATATGTGGCTCTATCTATTCTTTGGCCCCGAGGGGTTTGGCTTGATACGGACCATTACCGATATTCAGTTTTGAAGCCATAGTCCTGAGGTAACCTAAGTAAACCCAGTAGCAGGGGAAAAGAATCACTGATGGAAGGAATACCAGACTGGATACTCATAGGAAGTCTTTAATGCATGGACCGACCAGGTTTGTATAGCTGGTCTGTTTGTGTTTCCCTGAATAGACGTCTCTTTTTCCAACAGGAACCACAGATTTACTGAGTAACCTGTAGAAACATGTCACCATAAGTAGAATTGTGTGGTTAAACATGTAAACAACGGCACTTCCCAGTGGTCAGAAGGTCCAGCTATCCTTGGATAATTCTTGGCCTAAGTTTGGACATAGCTGAGTGTGTTCACAGTAAAGTGTTAATTAAAGTATCTGGAAATTAAAAGGTTATAACTCAAAAACTAAAATTACTATCATAGATTGGAAAAAAGATTTCAAACACAGACAGATCAAAGAGACAGTGTGGATAAAATCAAGAGGAAAGATTGAGAAATACATTTTTGGGGACATTTTAAACCAAATTAGCCTCTGATTTCATCGTTCTACTGTGACGCCAGTTACATTGGAAATAAAATGTCCTCAGTCTGAAAAAGCGGCAGATGAAATCCCACAAGATTAACATGGTTAACACAACATCAGTAAATCACTTCATTTAAAAAGGAATCATTGAAAAAAAAAAATAAATACACATTTTAATGATCCCTGAAAAATTTGTTATGAACGTGATGGTTTCCGTCAATTTTTTTCTAAAACTTAACCTACTTTAGAAAGAAAAAAAAAACGGTCTGGTTTCACATTTAATTGGTCGACTATATGAAAGTATCACTTTGTTTCTACTCTGTGTAAAAAAAAAAAAGAAAAGGAATCTCTTCAAATGTGGACATCTGAAAATGTGTAACAAACTTCCGGATCTTATTCCATCAAATCATCACGTCCGTTACATAAAATAAACAGGGCCGCTACAGGAAACTTGTCTAATGTATAAAACAGTTATGTTCTAGCAACTTCTAATGGACAGAGGAGGTATTTTGACACATAATATATCTTCTGATTATTAAAATGGAATTGTCTGCCTTTTGTCACACTTGTGTACCCTTTAGTGTGAACAAGCCCATCCACAGGTGCTGACATCTTACTGACCGACGTTCATGACTCTGCAGGAGGCCAGTTGGTTTAGACTTCACCAAATCATGCTTTTGTTCACTTTAGTTCAACAACACAATCAATGTAAAAAGAGTTCAAACTAACCATTTTGTTGTGTGTAAAATCATGCTCTTTGTTATGTTTTTTTCCGCCCAGGATCGAAAACAAGGAGAGAACAAACCTTCCCTGGTGCGTCAAGAACAAGTGAAGGATTTGGAGAAGAGCGGAGAGGTCTCCATAAGCCAAGGTTGCATTCTGGAAACTTCCCTGTTCCTACACGGTTTCTTTTTAAGCCACTTTTTAAATGAGCTGTTTTTGTTCAGATGCAGGAGCAGAAGAGAACATCTCCATGACTCTGAACGAGCTGTCGGTTTTTATGAAGAAACAGGAAATGGAGCTTCAGCTTAAGCCGGAGAAGGAGGAGGGTGAGCCTACGTTATAGTTTAAGTTTAAGTATTGTTAAAATATGGTCGGACAGGGCATTTTGGAGAAAGAATTGTCACCTACATTGATCAATCTTTTTTATTATTAACCCCATATTATGCAAATAAAGCCTAAGATGTGGTATGATTAATATGGTGGGCAAAGTATTTAGTCATTTTCTCTAAGTCTTCATTGTTGATGGTATTTTGGCCCATTCCTCCACACATATTTCTTTTAGAGCAGTGACGTTCTGGGGCTGTCGCTGGGCAACACACACACACACACACACACCTTTCGACTCCCTCCAAAGATTTTCTATGACTTTGAGTTCTGCAGACCATGTGCTGTGTCAGTAATTACATGAATAAACCGGGACAGGGCTGGCACCTCTGACCCCCTCGGAACTTATCATGTTCAAATAACTTTTGTTAGTGTCCTAAGTTCCCCACAGGGATTAATGAAGAGCACGTTTGAGTCAGTGGTTTGACAAGAGCAGAGGAGATGCTGCAGATATTCAGGATAAAACTTATATGATTGTCAAAAAAAAAAAAAAAAAAGAATAGATTAAAGGCAAGAACGAGGAAACCAGAGGCCGGCTCTTTGTAGAGAGTTTGAAGATTAGGCCAGAGAGGTAAGATTTCACAGCGATTATGGGTGGTAATGACAAATATAACGACAGCAGAAAGTTGTCTCTATCTGTGTCAATGTCTGTGATCATTACTCATTACAATCATTACTCGTTGATTGAATATACGTTCCGTCCGCCAGCCGCCATCACCGAAGAACTACGGAAGCTGACGGAGGACAAACAGGAGCCACAGGACATGAGGGGCTTCGACTCGCCGTTCTACCACACGACAGAGACGCTGACGGGTTGCCAGGACAAAACCCTGTCCAACCCACAGGTACACACAGAGAATACATCAGGAAATTATATTATCTCAACATTTTATTATTGAGAGAGTATTTTATGGGTCTATGTACCGAGTAAGCGCAGCGTTCTAAAATAACAACATGTGTTTTTTTTTACAAGCCCAACTTAAAACACAAGGCTGTCTCCAAGGTTCTTGTTTTCAGATAGGGTTCTGTAATTTTAATATTTTTGGGTTTGTCAGCAGTTTTTCAGACATGATTTCCGCGACAATCAAAAAACTGATTGTAATCTGCATAATTCAAGGAGGTGTAAGACTTGATAATCTTCCTACGCCCTTCCAAGTGTCACGTTGTAATGAAACCCGCCTGTAACTTACCGCTTTAATGAAACACATTTAAATGGAAAAAAATTGTCCCTAAACGTCTGAAAGAAAAGAAAATCACTAACATTTACAAAGCATAAGAACACAAATAACTGGACTCTATTCAGCATTGCTCCCAAACAGATCTGACCACTCTGTTCCCCGGCTACACTTGTTACGCTTTAAAAGGCGTCTCGTAACTTTGCCCGTAACAGCAATTTACATGATTACAAAATACATGAAGAGACTTGAATCACTTTTGCCTGCTTCTGTGCGCAGGTCTCCACGCCGGACAAGCTGGACTCATGCGGAGTGAGCGCGGCCCCGGAGAGCAGACCCTCCATCCTGGACCAGTCGTGGCCCTTCCAGTCCTGCTTCACCCCCATCGAGCACCACCTCCACCGCAGCCAGTCCGCCTCCGACGACGACACGGCCAAATACGGCATGTTCTCCCCCAGCCCGAGCAGCAAGACCCCGCCGGCCCCGGTCCCCTACGAGTCCTTCTTCGACCTGGCCCTGCCCCGAGCCGCCTCCCTGTTTGTGGGGAAGAAGACGGCGGAGGTGGTGGAGCGCGTGGCAGGGGAGGCTCTGGAGGACGGGGAGGAGGGGGAGGGGCTGACTTATGCCTCGCCTCTGGAGGTGTTGGACCGACTGGTGCAGCAGGGAAGCGACACTCACGACAAAGCGCTGAAGAGGCGAGTCCATAGTAGTCTTTCTCTTCTGAATCTACATCATGGCCTGCTGTGCTGCCTGGTGGCTGAGTGGTTTGCACTCTTGCTCCTCAGCAACAAGGTCCTGGGTTTTGAATCCTGGCTGGAACAGGGGCTTTTTGAGTGGAGTTTGCATGTTCTCCCCATGTCTGCTTAGTTTGTTCCTCCCCATGTGTCGAGTCCCTCACACAGACAACATAATACTAATATTTTGTGTTTGATCGTCCGATACTAAGGCAGGGGTTCTCTCGCTAGTTTAGTAAGGGTCATCTTGTCTTTAGAATATATACTTTTTGCCATTTTCTTTGGTATGTGGCGCAAATAAGTTATAAAAAGAGTAAAAAACTGATATGATACTGATGTATGCATCCAGAATCTTAATGGAATCTAATGTATAAACACACACTATTTTAGTATGTTCAATTGTTAGATTCTTTTATACCAGACAAATGTAAGATAGAATATGCCAGAAATCACTCACATCTGTGTGGCATAGAAGACTAGAAGACACTTTTGAATAAGAAACAACTTTATCTTCTTTTGATAATTCTTTTTATTTGTCCATTTTCTCCCTTTCCCTCACCTCTCACTCCGCACACTTCACCTTCTATGGAATTACAAATGTGTGTTCTGAAACTTTGGATTTAAAAAACGCTTTGGCGCTTCTTGTTACCGTTCTGCGCTGAAAGTGTTTTTTGTGCGTCTTCACGGCTCTAACGCTCTTTTCTCTCTCCACAGATTACCTTTGCCAAGTAAGTCAGCTGACTGGACACACTTTGGAGGTAACGCCCTTCTTTTCGCCCGCTCCCAGACAAAAGTGTGGCCGCATCCGAATTTCAGAATGACCTCTCCTCACTCTCCTTCCTCATCCTCCCTAGTGCTTTCCATTGTCTATGGTGGCCGTAAAATGTTTCTCTTTTGGTGGCTTTGTATACATTTTAGATTGTGATACATTATAGTACCTCTTTCTCTCCTTCCACATTGTCCTTGTGCTTTCCATTGTCCGCCCTCACTCAGCCAATCACTTAATGTAGAGTAAATAAAGAACACACAAGTTCATGCTTAAGGCAACGTTCAACACGAATAATGCATATTATTTGTTCTTTGGAAGACAAACAAATACGTTTTTCCAATATTATGAGACTGCATGTTGTGGACAGATATGTTCACAATTTATGCTCCTTTTGTTGAGAAAATATAGAATACATGGACATAAAAGTTTGTACCCCAGCCACAGTTAGTACACCAATTCCAGTTGGCTAAACCTGGAGCTGTTCTCTTCAGACCAATGGAAACTCCCCCAAAACATGTTTAGTTTTCCGCCTGATTTATCAAAAGTACGTAAAGTATAAAATATGCCAAAACTGTGGAATATAATGGAAATACAACAAAAACAGTTGAAAGGCTAACTGCTAACTTTTGGTAGTAAACAGTGTGTTGCTATGGTAACTATTACTTGTCCGAGACCAGTCCAGGACCAGTCCAGGACCAGCACCTTGAACAAAGCATTTAAAAATAAGATGGGATTTTACAAATGTATTGGCAAAGAAACACAGATAGAAACAGTGCATACATGCATACGCTGAGTCATTACTCTTTCCAAACTAAAAGCCGTCAAATTGACTGCTCTGGGCGCTCTCGTGTTTAAAGGACGTTACTCATCGACAATGAAGGAGTTATGTTTGTCTTTTGGATTCGGCCGTCCCCTGGTCACATGCCTCGCACCGCGGCTGAACCCTCGGAGCACAAACGCCGCTCTGTGTGCGTCTGTTTACCTCCCATCGCAGCGGCACCTCGTGTCAGCGCACTCTGCCAGCGCGATCACGACCAGACATTCAAATTATCCTGTTTACTGATACGAGTCATGTTGTTTGGATTGAGGCTTGTGGTGAAGCGTGTTGTGGCTTTGTGGAACGCTGCAATAAGCAGATTCACACGCAGGGAAAGGACACAATATATAATCGAACTTTGTTTTAGTGTCTTAAAGCTGGGGCACCTGACTTCTCTGGTTCACTAATAATACATAATGAGTCCACAACATACTGTTTTGCAGACATGTAAGAAAGAGCCCTGTGAGTCACTATTTGAAGATTTGGGGTGAGAGCTGATTGGCTGTGTGAAGGTGGTCCCCTCTTTTTTGCATTTCTGTCTGAAAATGCTGATCTAAAGATGTGAGATCAGCATAGATGAAATGGATTCATGTGGAAATCTAGTGTCGACATATTTTTGGAGAGCAAGGAACTAGTTAAATCATACGACATAGTTGCATTTTACGTACGCTAACTTTAAAACGAACGGTCATCTTCATCAATATCGGGAGATTAGAACAATGTTTGATTCTATATATCACTTCAATAGATTTAAGTGTGACCTTTTAAGGACATTTATGGACTGGTTTTCTCACTCACAATGGCTCCTATGTGTTTGTTAATTTTCTTGTCTGTGTTTGTACTGTTTGAGTCTGATCCGTTGATTGACAGCTTTGTAGAGACCTCCTAGTCCTCTGAGCCGACTGCTGTTGTGATCTAAGGCTATACACAAACATTGATTGAACATTGTATTAAGCTTCACATACAGATTATAATTACAGCTGTTATTAGAAGGTATGGATACAAAGGGCTGTTCATCTGTACCATGGTCCGATGGGTTTTGGGTGGGCGGCACGGTGGCTGAGTGGATAGCACTCTCGCCTCTCAGCAAGAAGGTCCTGGGTTCAAATCCCAGTTGGACCAGGGCCTTTCTGAGTGGAGTTTGCATGTTCTCCCCGTGTCTGCGTAGGTTTCCTCCGGGTGCTCCGGTTTCCCCTACCACTAAAAATATGTACAATAGGTCTGGCATGTGCCTCCTGTACTGGCACCCCCACTACCAAAAATAACAATTGTAAACCGCTTTGAGACTCCGATGTGCAGTGAAAAGGCGGTATATAAAGCTTACTTACTTACTTACTTTTATTCCATCATATACCAAATAGATAAAAGTTTGCTTGGAGTTTCTTTCATACAGTGCCTTGCGAAGGTATTCGGCCCCCTTGAACCTTTCAACATTTTGCCACATTTTAGGCTTCAAACATAAAGATATAAAAATAAATGTTTTGTCAAGAATCAACAACAAGTGGGACACAATCGTGAAGTGGAACGAAATGTATTGGATAATTTTAAACTTTTTTAACAAATAAAAAACTGAGAAGTGGGGCGTGCAATATTATTCAGCCCCCTTGCACAAGACTTTGTAGTGCCACCTTTTGCTGCAATTACAGCTGCAAGTCGCTTGGGGTATGTCTCTATCAGTTTTGCACATCGAGAGACTGGAATTCTTACCCATTCTTCCTTGCAAAACAGCGCGAGCTCAGCTCACTGAGCTCGTTGGACGGTGAGCGTTTGTGAACAGCAGTCTTCAGCTCTTTTCACAGATTCTTGATTGGATTCAGGTCTGGACTTTGACTTAGACATATCCAGGTGTTAGAATGGCCATTTGTGAACCATTCCATTGTAGATTTGGCTTCATGTTTTGGATCATTGTCCCGTTGGAAGATAAATCTCCGTCCCAGTCTCAGGTCTTTTGCAGACTCCAACAGGTTTTCTTCCAGAATGGTCCTATTTGGCTCCATCCATCTTCCCATCAATTTTAGCCATCTTCCCTGTCCCTGCTGAAGAAAAGCAGGCCCAAACCATGATGCTGCCACCACCATGTTTGACAGTGGGGATGGTGTGTTCAGGGTGATGAGCTGTGTTGCTTTTACGCCAAACATATCGTTTTGCATTGTGGCCAAAAAGTTCGATTTTGGTTTCATCTGACCAGAGCACCTTCTTCCACATGTTTGGTGTGTCTCCCAGGAGGCTTGTGGCAAGCTTTAAACGAGACTTTTTATGGATATCTTTGAGAAATGGCTTTCTTCTTGCCACTCTTCCATAAAGGCAAGATTTGTGCAGTGCACGACTGATTGTTGTCCTATGGACAGACTCTCCCACCTCAGCTGTAGTTATCTGCAGTTCATCCAGAGTGATCATGGGCCTCTTGGCTGCATCTCTGATCAGTCTTCTCCTTGTTTGAGATTAAAGTTTGGAGGGACGGCCGGGTCTTGGTAGATTTGCAGTGGTCTGATACTCCTTCCATTTCAATATAATTGCTTGCACAGTGCTCCTTGATGTTTAACGCTTGGGAAATCTTTTTGTAGCCAAATCCGGCTTTAAACTTCTCCACAACAGTAACTCGGACCTGCCTGGTGTGTTCCTTTGTCTTCGTGGTTCTCTCTGCGCTTTAAACAGAACCCTGAGACTATCAAAGAGCAGGTGCATTTATACCATAGACCGTATATATTAACGGACAGAGTCTAGCCTATCTCCGCCGTTCATAGGAGTTGGCCATGAAAAGTGCTTTCATGGAGCAATCCAAGATGGCCGCAAGTGGTCCCGCCCACAAGAAAATTGTGAAAAAACGCATCTGCGCATGCGTCAGTCGGCGCAGCTCCATTCCTTTGAACGAGAGACTTCAAAAATTCCCAGCGAGTAAACTAGAGTGAACCAAAAAAAATCACCCCCCTCAGCATTGACACACATGTGGAACGGAGCTTTGGGCCAAGAGCCAACTTTTGGTCCATCCTGTAAAGACGTTTTTGAGAGGTCTGCTAACGCTATATGTTAGCATTGGCTAATTCTTCTTCTGGGTCCACCCCCAACTGCCCGGGGTGGTATTGCAAGCATGTCAGCGCACGTCATTTTGGCCACTTTTGAGCTGGGACCCTCCCCCACTGATTTATACGGAGACTTGATTACACACAGGTGCATTCTATTGATCATCATCAGTCATTTAGGACAACATTGGATAATTAAGTAAGATCCTCACTGAACTTCTGGAGTGAGTTTGCTGCACTGAAAGTAAATGGGCCGAATAATATTGCACGCCCCCCTTTTCAGTTTTTTATTTGTTAAAAAAGTTTAAATTATCCAATACATTTTGTTCCACTTCACGATTGTGTCCCACTTGTTGATGATTCATGACAAAAAATTAAAATTTTATATCTTTATGTTTGAAGCCTGAAATGTGGCGAAATGTTGAAAGGTTCAAGGGGGCCGAATACTTTCGCAAGGCACTGTATGTGCCTTTGGAATTTGTTCTTGCTATTTCCTATTTTTGGATCCAAAGACTCGTCGCTGTCGGGAAGCAAGCCTTCATTAGGCTGAACACCAAAACAAACAAACCAAAGAGAGATGGCAAAACATTTGGTGTGCCAAATTAGCTGCTTGGAACCATTTAAGCTACAGCAAAACATCTGGGACACCGAGGAAAGAAACGGTAGTGGATGGCGGTGATAAAAACAAAAAGAACAGTTGGACAGATGAAGAGCAGTCCCATTTATTTTACTTTGAGTGAGTTTCTGGTCAATAGCAGAAAGACCAAATTAGAGCTTGCCAAACGAGCGCGGGAAATACCTATTGTGGAACGTTCACCTCGCTGTGAGGCGCCATTGTCTCCTCGAAGACAAAGAGAATGAGAAGCAGCTTTTTCCCGAAGCTATAAGACCGTTGGATCACCCTAACTGTATCTATCGCTTTGTGCAGTATGCATTGACTGTACAGAGATGGACAATGCTAACCCCCCAGCTCAATGCAGCCCAATAGAGAAGTGCTCATGGACAAAGTTTTGCTCCAACTTGGTTTGGCTCCTTCTGACTTGCATGGAAAAGTAAACTCCTCTAGCTCAGTAATCGTTTGCGTCACACTCACCATTTTTGGCTTTAACAATCTGAGGTTTTGCACTCTCTATGATCCTGGTGTTTATTTTGTGTTGTTGTTTTTTATAAATCCAAAAGTGAGCCACAAGGATTGACCAATCTGCCTTAGCAACCCTTATAAGCAACACGTCTGCCCTGATTCAGCACTAGGGCTGGGCGATATGGCAAAAAAAAAAAATCTCCAATTTTTTCACACAAAATCCGATTTTCGATTTTAATCAATTTATTTTTTTCTATTTAAAAACAAACTACAACTGACAAAGAAATAGATTTTCCTTTATGCAGTTTATCTATCTAAATCTAAATCCCCATGGAGCATAAGTGTAACAGGAATTAAGCCTTAAAACATGCTTGTAAACGAGATGGCTCTGTAAACAGTGAAAATGTAGCTTAACAGTTTTATAATAACTTCACTTACAATGACACTATGCACCTTCAAAATAACTTAAATCACACAAACAAGGCCCATCGCAAATATATCAATCCTATTAAACACATGCATTATTTACATGAAATATCACATTTTTAAAACTGATTACTCAAAATAGAAATGTTGTAAGTGACAGTATTTTCCAAAAGCCTCCTCGGGTTTTCATTGCCTGGCCTGCCAGACACTCCTCCTTTCTGTTCAAAAGAAGAACCGTCTGGACACCTCTTCCTAGCCTATCATTTCACGATTTTACCCACATCGGTCCAATCACGCACCGAGAGGCGGGACTTCCTTTCACCTTTGAGTTGCTAATAACTCCTCGTATCTTTAAGTTTTTGTTACAAAATCGACAGCAGTCGTTTACATTTGCACTAGCTGACATGCCGCCATCCCTTGTTTTGTGTTTACTGAAACGGCTTGGGTGCCGCTAGTTGCTGCGTCATATCCTGTGTGCATCTAATTGGTTGATGCAGTCTGTCAACCACGCCCTCCGGGAATTCGCTGAGATCAAGCTCGTTCCCAGACTATGTCTTTGAAAAAGCATATCGTTTGGCAGGCCAGGCAAGGGTTTTCATGCTTGTTCTTTCAACTGTGCCTGAGTAACTGTGCTGTAGTACAACGCTCGGTCCAGCTGGTGGCGCTAATACTAACTTCAGTGACTCCCGCATTGTGCGAGCTTCCTGTTTACATTCTGATGCTGTAGCTAACAGCTACTGTAGCAGCTCCTGTAGCTAACAGCTACTGTAGCTAACAGACAGCGGGGAACACGTTGTTTGTATCAGAGCAATGAGAGCAATGTGTGAGACGTGTCTTTCCCCAAAGTGCAGCGGCTCAGTGGGACACGAGTGTGTGCGCGCCACGGACACGGGAGTGCGCTTTGGAATAACAAGCGTGAGAGAGCGTGAAAGATGTGGCGTACGAACATGGCGTACTAACATAGCGACCGGAGCCTGCGTGTGTGTGTGTGTGTGTTCTGGCGATTTAAATAAAGTCTGATTCTTGAACGTTTGAAGTGTTATTGCAACAGCACCAACTGTGAGAGCGAGCCTCAGGCCAGAGGGAGACTGTTAGCATTAGGTTAGCTTCAAAATGACTGCTCAACACCATAGACCCGCGGTTAGCGCGTTAGCGCTGTAGTTCTGCGCTGGAGAAAATAAAAATCGAATTTTTCAAAAAAGAAATCGCCCTAAACGTAAAACTCGAATTAATGATTAAAATCGATTAATCGCCCAGCCCTAGCACTAAGCCAACCCCGCGGAAACATATGCCCATATAAGGAATCTATACGTTCAAATTGTCTTTTTCCGTATTGGTGATATTTATGCATAATACTTATTTTATTTGATAGTGCAGTCTCCCATGGCCAGTAATGGTAAAGTCTTTTTAAAACTATACATTCAATTTAAGTTGTTGACGTCACCTTTAATGAGAATTCTATCGATATACTGCTACTATACAAGCTTCTATTTTTCTATTTGATGATGACTACACCATGCAATTACAGACACGGTGGCTGAGTGGATAGAACAAGAAGGTCCTGGGTTCGAATCCCGGTCGGAACAGGGCCTTTCTCAATGGAGTTTACATATTCTCCCCGTGTCTGCGTAGGTTTCCTCCAGGTGCTTTGGTTTCTCCTACCTCTAAGAACATGCGCAATGGGTATAAATGTAACGAAGTGAGTGAGTGGTCTGTAAAGTGCTCTATATAAATAAAGATGACTTGACACCACAAGTATCATCCAAGCGCTGTGATGCTTGCTAACGCTTGTGTCTGGCCCCAGGATCGGCCCCTGTGGACGAGCTGCACACTCTGCGCAGTCAGCTGCTCCTGCTCCACAACCAGCTGCTGTACGAGCGCTACAAGAGGGAGCAGCACGCCATCCGCAACCGCCGCCTGCTCCGGAGAATCATCAACGCCACGGCGCTGGAGGAGCAGAACAACGCCATGGTAACGTCCCCCCCCAAACCACACTGACAAAGTCACATTGACCAAACCTTAGCAATAGCCTATTATTAGTAGCCTAGTATTTTGTGCCCCCTAGTGGCCATCAAAGTTGATTATCAGTGTGGATGATATGGCATGTTGTACATCATTTAACAGCAAATTTGATCAAGAAGACAACCACGCCTTTTCAATACCATAAACTTGGAAACCGAAGCAGGGCGACAGTAGCTCAGTTGGTAGAGCATTGGACTTTGAGCCTGAAGGTCGTGGGTTCGAGCCCACCGTAAGATCTACTTCACGACTCCCACTGATGACTGCTGTCGTTGTGTCCTTGGGTAAGACACTTAACCCTACTTTGCCCAAAAGCCCCAACTGAAAGATCGCAGCTCCTGTGGACTCACCACCTACAGGAGGATCAGTGAGGGGCTGGTGCTGTGTGTACTGGGTGCAGCTCTGACTGCCACCCCCCCGACCCAGAAATGGATTAAGGGGAAGAAAATGGATGGATGGAAACCGAAGCGTGATAAGTAATGAATAAAAGTAAAGATTAAATCTAGCAATCTAGAATACGGTTTCAGTTCCAGCAGCTATTTTTTTTAATCATTTGTTTCAACATTTGTTCAGTCACCGACAATAACAGAAAAACTGTATAGTTCGAGGTGGTAGATGTGGGACAGAGGCTGCATGCGCTGATTCGTGGTTTTGATTTCTCCCTGCCTCTCGAGAATGAAAGAGAAAGATTGCTACTTTGGGCATGTGTATGAAAGCCAAATAGCACTGTAATGATGTTTTAAAACACGAATCGGAAAAGCCGAAAAGCGCATTATTTAAATATGCAATGGTTTGCCTTACAATGGTATGCAATGGTTTGCCTTGCAGAAGGCCCAGCTGAACCTGCAGAGCGTGGACATCTCCTCCCTGCGCGAGAGCCTCCACGTGGAGCAGCAGCGCTATCGGCAGCTGTGGGACGACCGCGAGAAGGTGGTGACGCAGCTGCACAGTCAGATCCGCCAGCTCCAGCAGGGACGCGACGACTACTACACCAAGAACCAGGAGCTGCAGGTAACGGGGGCGGCAACCGGAACCACCGTGACCAACGAGAAGGGGTTTGAATAGGCACCGATTAACGTCATCTCCCGATTCCTAAAATGCATTCTTAAAGTCGGCTGTAACATGGTGAACAGAGAACCACTGTCTTTAGCAGAGGTTAAAAACCATTCAACGGAGAGCCAAAAAAGCCTCATACTTTGAAAATTATATCTGTGGGAGCCAGATTTCTTTTTGTTCTAGCAACACATTTGGAGCATAATATTAGTCAGTTTTGTTTTTTTTCACCAAGAATTAGACAAATCTGACGGTGGGTGACAGTGGCTTAGTTGATAGAGCATTATTCTTAACCCGCTTTGCCTGAAGTTGTCACCATTCTCCTGTGGACACACCACCTAAAGGAGGACAAGATAAGATATACTTTATTGATCTCACACAGGAGGAATTTACATGTCACATATAGCATGGATAGAAACAATCAAGATTGTGCAAAAAGAAAGATGTGCAAACATGTTAAATGCAGGATATATTATGTACAATAAAAAGAAAGTGAGGGGCTGATGCTCTGTGAATTGGATGCAGCTCTGACCGCCCCCCAGACCCAGAAATGGATTTAGGAGAAGAAAATGAATGGATAAAAAAATCAATACTTGAAACATTCTTTTCGGTATAATGTACATTGTGTTAGTTGATGTATTTGTATGACTTCCACAGTTATGCAGATGATACACAGCTGTACATCTCCATGTCTCCTGACGACACCAGGCCAATGGATGCTCTTTTTAACTGCATTTTAGACCTGAAATCCTGGATGGCAGAAAACTTTCTCCAGCTCAACCAGGACAAAACTGAGGTTTTAGTCATCGGTCCTGAGGCCCAGAGAGAGAAACTTTTACCGAAACTCCAATCACACTCTTTTAATCCATCATCACAAGTGAAAAACCTGGGCGTAATCTTTGACTCTGAGCTGACTTTTATTCCTCACATCAAGAACATCACAAAAATAGGTTTTTATCATTTAAAGAACATCGCCAGAGTCCGCCCCATTCTCTCTCGGGCCAACACGGAGACGCTGATGCATGCTTTTTATCACCAGTCGCATTGACTACTGTAATGCCCTGCTCTCTGGTCTTCCCAAAAAGAACATTTCAGGTTTACAATTACTTCAAAACTCGGCCGCACGTGTCCTGACTAAGACCAGGGGGCGGGACCACATTACACCGGTTTTAAAATCGCTGCATTGGCTCCCCGTGTGTTTCAGGATCGATTTTAAGGTTCTTTTAATGGTCTTTAAATGTCTTAATGGTCTTGGGCCTTCTTATCTTTCAGATTTGCTTTTATCCTATGAGCCTTCCCGGCCCCTGCGCTCCTCCGGCAGCAGACTCCTAACCATCCCCAAAGTCAGGACACACACTCACGGCGAGGCATCTTTCCAGCACTACGGCCCCCGTCTCTGGAACAGTCTGCCGGAGGAGCTCAGGGCCGCAGAGAACGTTCATATTTTTAAGAGTAGGCTCAAGACGCACCTTTTTAGAGCAGCTTTTGATTAGTATTTATTATCTATTATTGCTTTTTAGTACATCTATTTATGTTTTTAGACGGATTATATTTTTATTTATTTTTATTATTTACTATTTTTAATTATTTATTGTATCTACCCATTTACTATTGTTATTATATTAGGCAGCTGCCATTTTTCTTTTTATTTTCACATTCTATTGTTCTACTTTCTATTGTATTATTGTATTGTTTTAGTGTCCCCAGTGTTTCCTCTGGAGGAGCCCTCTGCACTGAGAGCTGGGGTCTGCTGTGGCTTCGGGGGTCTGGCTCTTGGATCCGGTGGGGGTCTGGGGCCTCCTCTCTCCTCTGGGTCCTATGGGGTCTGAGTCCTGGGCCTGGTGGGGTCTGGGGCCCCTCTCTCCTCTGGGTCCTGTGTCGTTGCCTGTGGCTGCAGCCGGCTCTCTGCTCCTGGTGCAGATGGCTCCTTGGATGACGCTTCTTCAGCCGGTTACATCTGCTCCCAGCCCCATTTCTTTTTATTGTTTTACCTATTTTACCTGATATGACTTTATACTTGTGTATATGTGTGTGTGTGTGTGTGTGTGTGTGTGTGTGTGTGTGTGGGTGTGTGTATTGTATATATAATTATAAATGTGATTTTGGGGGGTCTGTGGGGAGGAGGGTTTAGGGCTGGGCATGTTGGATTGTTTTTAACTAAACTGTAAAGCACTTTGTGTTACACTTTTTGTATGAAAAGCGCTTTATAAATAAAATTTGATTGATTGATTGATTGATTTGACAAAGTTAGCGCGAATAATCTGCTGTATTTATATATATTTTTTTCTATTTACCCGTTTTCTGCTGAATACTTGGTACGACTCATAATGGCTCAAATTCGTGAACATTCTGTGTCCAGAGTAAACTGCAGGAGTGTCAGAAGAGGATGGACGAGCTGGAGGCGGAGCTGCAGAGATCCAATAACAAAGTCTGTCACACTGGGCACCTTCTCAACCAGATGACCATCAAGGTAAGAGGCCGCAACCAAACCAATCAAAACTGCACAGCAAACCAATCAAAAAATGGTTATTAACGGTAATTATTATCATTACTCATTTTCTTGTATGAGCCTGGACAACAAATACATCAAAATGTACAGATCACAATGAAACCGTGTTTATTGAGGCCACTGAAACCAGAGGCAGAACAGATCAAACTCTTTACTGGAAGTTTAAGTAGAATTCACTTCAATGAGCAAACTTTACTCTTTTAGGATTGTTATTGACGCTGGTGAAAAACCTCAAAGACAAATGTTAATAATATGGGCGGCACGGTGGCTGAGTGGATAGCACTCACGCCTCTCAGCAATAAGGTCCTGGGTTCGAATCCTGGTTGGACCGGGGCCTTTCTGAGTGGAGTTTGCATGTTCTCCCCGTGTCTGCGTAGGTTTCCTCCGGGTGCTCCGGTTTCCCCTACCACTAAAAATTTGTACAATAGGTCTGGCATGTGCCTCCTGTACTGGCGACCCCGCTCCCAAAATAACAACTGTAAACCGCTTTGAGACTGTGCAGTGAAAAGGCGATATATAAATAAAGATTACTTACTAATTACTTACTAATATACATGGGAATAACAGTAATTTTTTTTTTTTTTATTCTCTATTATTTTAACGTTTAAACTAACAAGTTTTTAGTCTCATCTTAACATTTTAACTTTCCAAAAAAGTTTCCAAATAAAATCCAAATTCTTTGTTATAACTAATCATTTGAGTGATGTTATGGTATCAAACTTTCAAACCCCAAAACATTGAAATCTATCTACAGTCATTTGTTCCTGGATCTAAAACAGTTTTCTTCTATCACTAGTTCTCACATGCATTTGTTATTGGCCTCAGTCCCATCTTTAGAGCAGCTATTTCAGACAGAAAAGTGGGAAAAATACAAATGCTTTCTAATGAAGAAGGCCGCAACCTCTGCAACATGTGCTATTTATGAAGGAAAAACGTAATGTACCCCAGCTTTAAATTCACATGAAATGCAAAGAATTATATCTGATTCATGAATGACGAATCACTCACAACCTGTGCTTGTGCGACTTGTTTCTTGTGTGTACATATTTCCAAATTTTGTAATGTGGCCAGCATGAAAAATATTCTTTACTGTTTTTGCTATTTACCATAATTTAAAAGAAATCCTAGTTTATTTTTCCTGCTCACTGACAATGGCTATAAAACGTTCTGGTTGTGACGTCAATTACAAAATAATGATTGTGACTGTATACGTTCTAATATGCAGTATGTTTATATTTTGAGCTCTGGTGACAGCAGTAAGTCAGAGAGTTTGTGTAGGTGACTTGTCTGTTAATGAGGCTTTGTTCGTCTCCAGCGCAAAAACCGCCGCTCTGCCAAACCCGTGCGCTCGTTTGAGTTGACGCCTAATTGCCGCTGTGCCCTTGTGTGTGATTGTTTGATTGTGTCGTCATTGCTCGCTTGTGTGTGTGCTCCGTGTCCTTCAGCTCAGCACCAGCGAGAGCACGCAGCAGCAGATGAGTTTCCTGAACAAACAGCTGCTGCTCCTCGGGGAGGCGCACAAGCTCTGCAGGCAGAAGCTCCAACATGCCGGCCACGACAACGCAAAGGTACACCTGCACACACACACACACACACACACACACACACAGACAGACACAATACCCAGACACCAACACACACACACAGATATACACACACAGATGAAGACACAACAGTGGGTGCGGGTCCTGGCTCCAAAAGTTCCATGGGCACGTGCGCTGACATACTTGCAATCTCACCCCGGGCCGGTGGGGGTGTACCCGGAAAGAGAATTACCCAATGCTTTTGTATGCCACCTTCTTTCCTCTCAAATGGCTTTACAGGATGGTCCAAAAGTCGGCTCTTGACACACTTTTTTTTGACCAGTCTAGTTGAGCCTCTGTGGACTTTTGAATCCACTCGTTAAATGTATGGGGCTCATATCGTCTAAAGCATGGGCTAATGCAATTTTTCAACCATTTTGAAAAAGTCCACAGAAGGCGAAAGTGATGGCACATGAGTTTTAACAGCGGAGAAAGGCCTGACTACGTCCGGTAATATTTACAGTCCATTGTGCTGTTTACACGAGGACACCACGACACTAAAACGTTAGAGTTGGGTATCGGATTGGCCCAAGACGTGTTTCTAGCGCTACACGGAGGAGAATTTTACTCCTTTGTGTGTCCAAACAAAAAAAACACGCAAAGCCGTAGTTTCAGTGTTAATTTTTGAGTGCTTTCACGTCTGGAGGTTGTTGTTGAACTGATTATACTGGTGGGAGTTGCGTGTGTTGTGTTGTAGAGTTCCACTGCCACTACTGGCCAGGCACTGGGACTACATCGTTTTCCGTCATCCTGTAAACGCTGTGCACTTCAAATAAGGAGCCTGCTTGTTTTTGCCAATTGCTTTGCAACGGGGTACACCAATAAAGACATAACAATGTCTTCAAACTTCAAAATGTGTTTTTTTTAATGGTTAATTTTACTCCCAGAAACCTAAGCTCCACCCAGTTTGCAGCTCCATTAGCTCTCGCATCTCCAACAATTCTAACCTTAGTCTTCACCTCTTTACTGTGTGTTTTTATGCTTCTATTGAACACGATAAAAAGTCAGAACTCCTCAAAATTACAATAAAACTTTATAACCTTTTAGTCAGTGACTCATCTGTACGTCATCGTCCTGTTCTCCGGTCACCGCGCTCTCGGTGAGAGCAGCGGCACTTATTGAGTTTGTCCCACGTCAACATGTCCAGAGCCGTAATGGCCTCCGCTCTAACGAGATCACAGCTGGACACGGACCTTCTCTGCTGCTGCTGGTGTGAGGCCGGTCACATTCAGATCCAGTCACATCCATCTCAAACAGGCCGATTAATCACACCACAGAAAAAGAGAATATTCACTACAGATTTGAACCATGCAATCTTTAGTCGCTGTGAAACAAATCAACAAAAAAGCTGCCTCAATAATAAGTGCAAAATCCTTAAAGTGCTTTGTTCACACTGATTCCTGCATTTTAGTGAACAATGTAGTCTGGTAGAGGGAAGAAACAGGACAGACAGGAAGTCAAACTCAAGAGAACAAATAAAACTGCACCATGACAGAGAGGGCTTGAATACTGCTGCCAGAAGAGTTATTGATTATTCTAAAGCTGTGTTCACACTGGACCATGCGTTGAGGCGAGTTTCAATGCAAAATCCAAGGTGACGTCAGCCCATACGAGGAATTGCATGTACGTCTCGGCATGCACTTTTGTCCCGCGAGGCAGAGGCGGTGGGTACGGCGGCCAGATGCATGCAGCGAATGCAGGAGATGAGATTCACTGAACATCCTCGCTTCACGCACGTGCGGGAACAAATCAGAGATCAGCCTGGGGACACGAGCAGGCAAAAACAGGAAGATGTAGACACTCGAAAACAACCAAAACATGAGCTAAACCAGGATTAAACCAGGTCTGACAATGGGGGTCAGTGCTTGTGAACATATGTCTTCACCCTGAGTTGACATTCCACTGTGACTGTAAACAAGTGCTGCTAACATGTTCGCTTATTAAACTTGTTAGCATCAAAGCCCGCCCATCACTTCTGCCCTGCGTTGTTCCCCATCGCAGGGCAGTACATCAGATTGACTAAACTCATGTAGATGATATTTAGTGATTTGTTTTTGATTCTATCACATAATCCAATGTATGGCACTTGTGTAGCTAAAGTGTGTCTGTATAGTCATTTTTAACCAAAGTCTAAATAATAATAATAGTATCAATACATTCTATTTCTTAGGCACCTTTCTAGACACTCAAGGTCCCCTTACATATCAAGTAAAAAGTACGTTTAAAAACTGTTAAAATACAGATAAATTACAAAGTCAAGCCTGAATCCATGCTGTCGGCCCCTGAACGAGTCTGGTTAGCTTAAGTGGACCTATTACTAAAAAGTTTGGCCCTAGCAATACAAAACGTGTACACTACCACAGTACAACCTTAACCTTAAGTAAGGCCTGGTCCCAAGTGCACAGATGGAACAAAAGGCAGAGCTAAACACCACAACAGCACAAGCCTAACATCGCTCATAAGTCATTCTCCGCCTCATTCCGCCCACGTGCCGAGTTGGATCGGGAGCTAATGAGCGCCGGTTCTTTTGTGTGTGTGCTAATGGCCTCCCGTGCGGCACAGGAGACCCAGATGTTGGCGGTGGCGTGTGGCAAAGAGGTGGCGGCGCTGCGGCTCAGTCTGCTGCAGCAGGGACAGAAGCTGGAGGCGGCGCAGCAGAGGGCCACCGAGCTGGAGACGCTGCTCACCAAGAAGGAGCACCTCATCGCCGAGCAGAAGAAGTTCCTGGAGGACGTCAAAGGACAAGCAAGGTCAGGCTCCGAGGCCTCCTGGCGCACACGGGCCCAGGACTGGGGGAAGATACAGCTCTTATAAGATTGATACAGTAGATGCATACATAGACAGAGGCATAGAGACATGGATACATAGAGGCATAGATCCGTAGAGGCATAGATCTATAGATCTATAGATAGAGGCATAGATGCATAGATAGATGGATAGATTAATACATAGATACTTTATTGACCCCCATAGGAGAAATTCAGGTGTCCAGTCGTAGAAACACATCCATCCGTACAAACAAATAAATTGGACTGTTAGAAATAGATTGTTTATGAGTTGGAGCTGGGGATCCTGCCTTTTCCCCCTCCCATAAATAATACATGTTGTTTGTGGCAACAGAAAGAGTCTCGCAAAAGTAAGATCAGACTACAGCACGTATTAGAAAATCCCTGAGAATCACTGTGCTGAGAGAGGGTGGTCCTCTCTTTGGCACTTTTCTGTCTGAAAAAGCTGAACTAAAAATGTGACCAATACACCATGAGAACAATAGTGTGTTTTGAGCAATAGGAATTATAGCTCTAGGAACTCCATCCATCCATCCATTTTCTTCCGCTTTATCCGTTGCCGGGTCGCGGGGGCAGCAGTCTAAGCAGAGACGCCCAGACTTCCCTATCCACACACACTTCCTCCAGCTCGTCCGGGGGGACCCCAAGGCGTTCCCAGGCCAGCTGAGAGACATAGTCCCTCCAGCGTGTCCTGGGTCTTCCGCGGGGCCTCCTCCCGGTGGGGCGTGCCCGGAACACCTCCCCAGGGAGGCGTCCAGGAAGCATCCGGAACAGATGCCCGAGCCACCTCAACTGGTTCCTCTCGACGTGGAGAAGCAGCGGTTCTACTCCGAGCTCCTCCCGTGTGACTGAGCTCCTCACCCTATCTCTAAGGGAGCGCCCAGCCACTCTGCGGAGGAAGCTCATTTCGACCGCTTGTATCCGCGATCTCGTTCTTTCGGTCATTACCCAAAGCTCATGACCATAGGTGAGGGAGGGAACGAAGATTGACCGGTAAATCGAGAGCTTTGCCTTTCGGCTCAGCTCCCTCTTCACCACAACGGTCCGATACAGCGACCGCATAACTGCGCACGCTGCACCGATCCGCCTGTCAATCTCACGCTCCATTCTTCCCTCACTCGTGAACAAGACCCCGAGATACTTGAACTCCTCCACTTGAGGAAGGACCTCTCCACCCACCTGCAGAGGGCAAGGCACCTTTTTCCGGTCGAGCACCATGGCCTCGGATTTGGAGGTGCTGATTCTCATCCCAGCCGCTTCACACTCGGCTGCAAACCGTCCCAGTGCATGCTGCAGGTCCTGGTTCGTTGGAGCCAACAGGACAACATCGTCCGCAAACAGCAGAGATGAAATCCTGTGGTCTCCGAACCGGACCCCCTCCGACCCCTGGCTGCGCCTAGATATTCTGTCCATAAATACAGTGAACAGAACCGGTGACAAAGGGCAGCCCTGTCGGAGGCCAACATTCACCGGGAACAGGTCTGACTTACTGCCGGCAATGCGAACACAGCTCTGGTTCCGGTCATACAGGGATCGGATGGCCCTCAGCAGAGGACCTCCGACCCCGTACTCCCGGAGAACCCCCCCAAAGGACACCCCGGGGAACACAGTCGAACGCCTTCTCCAAATCCACAAAGCACATGTGGACAGGTTGGGCGAACTCCCATGAACCCTCGAGTATCCGATGGAGAGTATAGAGCTGGTCCAGTGTTCCGCGACCGGGACGAAAACCACACTGCTCCTCCTGGATCCGAGATTCGACCATCGGCCGTAACCTCCTCTCCAGTACCTTGGAGTAGACCTTACCGGGGAGGCTGAGGAGTGTGATCCCACGATAATTGGAACACACCCTCCGGTCCCCCTTCTTGTAGAGAGGGACCACCACCCCGGTCTGCCACTCCATTGGCACTGCCCCCGATCGCCACGCGATGTTGCAGAGACGTGTCAGCCAAGACAGTCCTACAACATCCAGAGACTTTAGGCTATCAGGGCGGATCTCATCCACACCCGGAGCCTTGCCACCATGGAGGCTACCAACCACCTTGGTGACCTCAGCCAGGGAGATGGATGTACCCGCCCCAACATCCTCAGCCTCTGCCTCTGTAACAGAGGACGTGACGGGGGGATTGAGGAGAACCTCAAAGTATTCCTTCCACCGCCCGACAATATCCCCCGTCGAGGTCAGCAGCTCTCCACCCGCACCGTACATGGTGTTGGCAAAGAACTGCTTCCCCCTCCTGAGGCGCCGGATGGTTTGCCAGAATCTCTTCGAGGCCGACCGATAGTCATGCTCCATGGACTCTCCGAACTCCTCCCAGTCCCGGGTTTTTGCCTCTGCAACAGCCCGGGCCGCGGCACGCTTGGCCTGCCGGTACTGGACAGCTGCCTCAGGAGTCCCCCGAACCATCATGGCTCGATAGGACTCCTTCTTCAGCCTGACAGCATCCCTTACTGCCGGTGTCCACCACCGGGTTCGGGGGTTGCCGCCGGGACCAGCACCAGAGACCTTGCGACCACAGCTACGAGCCGCCGCATTGGCGATTGAGGCAGAGAACATGGTCCACTCGGACTCTCCATGTCCCCCTCCTCCGCCGGGACCTGGGAGAAGCTCTCCCGGAGGTGTGAGTTGAAAGTCCGTCTGACAGGGGGCTCAGCGAGACGTTCCCAGCAGACCCTCACTATACGCTTGGGTCTGCCAGGTCTGACCGGCTTCTTCCCCTGCCAGCGGATCCAACTCACGACCAGGTGATGATCGGTTGACAGCTCCGCCCCTCTCTTTACCCGAGTGTCCGAGACACGCGGTCGAAGGTCAGATGATACGACAACAAAGTCGATCATCGACCTCCGGCCTAGGGTGTCCTGGTGCCACGTGCACTGGTGGACACCCTTGTGCTCGAACATGGTGTTCGTGATGGACAAACCGCGACTGGCACAGAAGTCCAACAACTGAGCACCGCTCGGGTTCAGATCAGGGGGGCCGCTCTTCCCGATCACCCCTCTCCAAGTGTCACTGGCGTTTCCCACATGGGCGTTGAAGTCCCCCAGGAGAATAACGGAGTCCCCGGGTGGTGCACCGTCCAGTACCCCTCCCAAGGACTCCAAGAAGGCCGGGTACTCTACACTGCTGTTAGGCCCGTAGGCCGTCACAACAATGAGAGACTTGTCCCCCACCCGGAGGCGGAGGGACGCGACCCTCTCATTCACCGGGGAGAACTCCAACACGTGGCGGCTGAGATGGGGGGCAATGAGAATGGCCACCCCAGCTCGCCGCCTCTCCCCGCGGGAAACTCCAGAAAAGTGGAGCGTCCAACCCCTCTCAAGGAGTTGGGTTCCAGAGCCCAAGCTGTGTGTGGAGGTGAGGCCGACTATCTCTAGTCGGTATCGCTCAACCTCCCCCACGAGCTCGGGCTCCTTCCCCCCCAGTGAGGTGACGTTCCACGTCCCAAGAGCCAGATGTTGTGTGTGCGGACTGGGTCGCCGAGGTCTCCGCCTTCGACTGCCGCCCAGTCCTCTCTGCACCGCTTCACCACGGACCCCTCTGCAGGTGGTGGGCCCACAGGAGGGACTGCCCACGTCATCCCTTCGGGCTGAGCCCGGCCGGGCCCCGTGGGCTAAGGCCCGGCCACCAGGCGCTCTCATACGGGCCCCGACCCCAGGCCTGGCTCCAGGGTGGGGCCCCGGCTGCGCCATGCCGGGCGACGTCACTGTTTTCGTGTTAGTGCTGTCCATGGTGTCTTCTGGACTGCTCTTTGTCTGACTCGTCACCTGAGACCTGTCTGCCATGGGAGGCCCTACCAGGGGCATGAAGCCCCAGACAGCATAGCTCCCAGGATCATCCGAGTACTCAAACTCCCCCACCACGTTAAGGTGGCAGTCCAGGGGGGAGGCTCTAGGAACTATGCTATATTAATATATTATGGTATATAAACAAAAAATGTTGTGCTATGAAATTTGGATCCAGCTTTATCAATGTCAGTGGTCAAATTAAATTAAAGCTGGTGTACATAACTTTCAAACAACAATGAATAGTCTCATGTATTTATTTATGTTAAAATGTCTGTCCATATAGATTCTTGCTAGATAAAAGTGGTTTGTTTTTTATCTCTGGTTATATTTATTTTTATGACTGGCCTCTGTCACATCTTTAGATCAACTTTGTCTGACAGAAACATAAAAAGAGAGGACCACCCTCCCTCAGCCAATCAGCTCTTAGCCCAAAGAGTCAAATTGTGCCTCCCAGTGCTCTTTCTTACTAGTATGTAAAGGGTCAAATGTTTTCAAATGAGCTAAAGAGAGCGTGGTGACTCTCACTGTTGATGTAAAATGATTTCAGACGGGTTATAATATTTGTCCTTTTAATGGTCCTTGTCTCTGTGTGGTCCAGAGCCGAGCTGCAGGCCTCTGACAGCAGGTTCCAGGCCCAGAGGAGGATCTCGCAGCTGCTTCAGACTGAACTCCTGCAGCTCTACAGCCGCGTGGAGATGGACGCACCCATCAGCACCTCCTCCAAGGCTCCAGCAGAGGGCAGCGCAGCCAAACACACTGCTGCTGGCGACAGGTAATTAAGAACCTCACTGTAGCCATAGCTATGGTTATTATAATAACTGGAGAGGGAGGGTGTTGCTGCTTCACCACATGGTCAAGGGCCCACACAGCAGCTTAAATCCACATGGGCTGTAAAGACATTTTCCCAAAGATTTTTTGGGGATTTTAGTGTGTTTTTTTTTGTGTGGAAAATCTATTGGTTTTCCACACTATTCCACACAAACTCTATCCCTGATCTGCGGCGCCCTGATTGGTCAGAATCCTCACTTGTTACTCTGGTCCAGTGCAAGTAGAACCAATTGGTTGCAATCCTAGTCCAGCATTGTGGTTGACTTCCTGTGGTACTGCGGACTAAAACCACCAGGGCGACTCAGGACTTTCTTCATAGACCTCATTGTTAACAAACAGCTGACAGGAAACCTTTAGTGCAGATTTTTTATACATCCACACCTTTCTACAACAAACTCTGCTCGTTCTCGTCTGCTAGAATCTGCACGTGTGCAAGTTTGGTTGTCATCGTCTTCTTCTAAACACTTTTGGCAGAGTGCATTAGCGTGGCGCAGTGCTGCCCTCTACAGTGAGCGCTGATTGGTGAGAACGCTGGTGTACTGCCTCTAGGCGTCAGTGGCTTTAAACATAATGTTACATGGTTATAACCATTGAAGTGTTCTGCTCTCTTCTTTCTTCACGTTCCAGTGTCGCGGCACCGGACTGTCACGGCGACTCTGCCGAGATCACTCCCCAACATCCACACCACTCTCCACGCGGCAACGGCAGCACTTTACCCCCCTCCAGCCCGCCCCCCGCCGGCCTGTCCACCTCCATGAACGGCAGCCAGGACCCCTCCCTCCATCACCACCACCACCACTCCTCCGCTCTGCTCCTGGACCCGGGCCCGCCCCTCACCGTCGGTTCTTACCCCAGCGCCAAAAGCTTCTTGGGCATGAGGGCGCGCGAGCTCTTCCGCAACAAGAGCGAGAGCCAGTGCGAGGAGGAGCAGCCGCCACCGCGCCTGTCTGGCCTGGCGCACGGCTTGAAGACTGACCTGTGCGTGGAGCCCTCCCCCAGCCAGACCCCCAAAGCTAACGTCACTGTGCCCGCCAGGCCCCGAGCGGGGAGCCAGGAGAGCCCGCGGAGGAGGGCCACGCACGCCCGTCCGCGGCAACAGCAGCTAAAGATCATGGACTACAACGAGACATCGCATCATGAGCACAGTTAAAACCACCGGCCGCAGGGTGTTGGCGCCGCGGCTGCGTGTCCCCCGGTTTGGATCCCTGCCCCAATAGACCAATAGTGTTTTTGAATTGAGGAGGCACTGTGAGGAAAAAATGGCAATATTAAATGTGATACAAAGTTGATAAATGCTTGGAGTAGAGTACATACCATTTTCTTCTATTTGGAGTTTTATAAGACAGTCTTGAGTTGAGATTTGCCAGGTGAACAAAAAGTACTGTTTTACTTAAAGGGGACATAACATAGAACTTGAAACAGATTTTGACCATGCTACAGTCTGAGTTTGAGTAATCTATGTTGTCTTATCCTGTCCGCTTGCTAGCCCCTCCCATTTAGCATATTTACAAAGCATAAGATTACAGAGTATGATAGAAAAAGCAGCACACATCTTTAACATCTGCACAGCAACTTAATCGCACCACAACGAAACCAACCAGCGTGTTTCTTTCACGCCTCGGCTCTTGAACTTAACATTCACAAATTTAAAGTGGGCTTGGCGATTTCTCTGGTTTTCACAAGTGGCATTTAAACGTTGTCACTGCTTTTACTGACTGTGGTAGTTTTTACTCGAAAAAGGAAAAAAATAAGCCTTTTGATATCATAAATTTTAGTGCGCAAAGCCACACGACAGGCCATATAAGGAAATACACCGACTCGACTCCTTTGTATTGTCTTTCTATATCATTATTGACATTTCCTAAGACGCAAATATGCGGTCATAAATCACGTCTCAGAACAAAGCAAGTTATGTCCCCTTTAAAATAAGAACACGAAGGGCTGGGGTGATATATTTTCTTTCTGATTACGATATTGATAAATATCACTGTTAAAATGGTAGTTAGTATTACTGGCAGTAAGTCTATGTTGTGACTTAAAAAAACATGTGCTAGAGCCAAACCAAATGGTCAAAAATGCGGTCTTTTAAAAATGAAAATAATTGCCCTATATTATATTTATTGAAAATGCTAGTCTAGTCTCCCCCCTTTGTGTTTAAAGACATGTTTTTACTTTGCCTCCACCAATACAGACGTTATTCCTAATTTGGGCCGGATCTCAAAGAAAAAAATCCAACCCCAGTGGTTCCCGTTCATACATTTGTTTTTACCGTCATTAACTCGACGCCAAAGTTTGAAGCCTCGACTGGCAAATTGACAAACTATTTTCAATTTAAGAATATATGCATACTGCCTGCACTTTCTAGTTTTTAAAATTGTCTTTAAATTGAACGTACATGTGAAAATGGGTGGAAAAGGAAGAGCATTATTTAAGGTAGTCCCACTTCTTTGATAGGACTGAACACAGGTGCACTCCGGCTGTCTTAAGGACTCACAGCAAAAATAAATATACGTAGATTACAAAAAATGCCTCCCAAGCGTATATCTGATATTTGACAAGTCCCGCCTCACTTTAAGATTGTCATTTTTTCCAGTGTGAATGTCTTTGCTTAAAATTACTTGAATTCAAAATCTCCTTTTGGATTTTTCCTGTGACTTACTATTATATATCTTATGTTTCCACACTTCGCTAACGTGACCGACTGAAGCTTTGTCTCAAAAAATCCCCACAAATGGATTGACATTTTTAACATTTCATCCTATCTTATCTACATTCCTGAATTCAGCTCATTTTAACAAATCTAGAAAATGTCTGGATGCTTTTGCACAAGTTGCTACGGTAACACTACAGAAACAGCCAATTTAGTTTTATGGAAATAATAAAACTGTTTTGAATACTTTATTTTCAGCTGAACTAAGTATTGTACGACTCAAATGCAAAATGGCTTCTGATTAGTCACCATTTGATTCATAATACAAAAATACTACAACTCAAATTCAATTTTTATCTCACCATTTGTTTAACTGTGCATATGTCTACTGTAAGGCCTGAAGAACTTCCCTTTCTCTAAACAAGCAACAAAATGATTTAAATATGTACATAAAGAAATCAGGTGCACTATATTGGTAAAACGGAAGATCGCGATATTTTAGTTTTTGACACAACTATGTTACAATCTGTGTTGATTTTTCTAGAAACATACTCTGTAGACCTAATACCAAGAGAAGCAGTACATTTCATATTGTTTTGTTCCAATAATGCAGAAAATGTCTTGTTTTTCAATATTCTTTAAAAAGTGGAAGGGATCCAAAATGGGGGACGACGGGAACAAAGACGCTAAGATTATTTCATTGTCGTTCCTCAAAGTGGACAACAGGATGAAGGTTTTTTAATTTCATTTTTTTGTCCAGTTTTACTCAGTCACCATTCCTCCTTTTATAAATGTAAAAAAAAAATACAAAAAAAGCATTGCCAAGATGAAGCTGACGCATATTTTCCACAGCTCAAAAGGTTGGTCATGCTAACACGAGCTACAGCACTGAAAGAAAATGGGACTCACTAGAATCTTGGTATTTAGTTTGATATTCACATTTTGTTACTATTTCTTTATTCAAATGTGCATCACAGTTTGCTTAAAGGTGTAGAGGAGGATTTTCCCAGGTTTTAGGAAAGAACCGCCCTCTCGACTTTTTGAACTAAACTCTCTGGTCTTATTGGACGAGCACGTATCACCAGAATGATTGACAACTGGGAGGACCAATAGTCTTGATGATACACCAGGAAGTAGAAAATCCTCCTGTATAGCTTTAAGGTTAGGATCAGGTTTTGGGATAATGCAAGGGTTAGTTTACAGAGGTTCGAAATACCAAGATTTTAGGGAATCCCTGAACAAAATATTAGGATTTGGATTCATTTTTTTCCGTCAAGATAAATTCTCATTACCTTCCTTTTAAAGTGAACGTTAGTCACACATGCTAACGCCCACACTCCAGCCTCCTGATTGGACTAATCTGTTGGTTTTCATATTTACGTGATACAGGTCATAGGATCAAAATGTGCTCAAAAGTTACTGATATCACTGTTCAAATAGCCTCAAAGCCAAGGATCGAAGCTGAAGCTAATTTTCCACAGTGCAAAAGGATGGCTGCAGTGCGAACACTGTAACCGTTCAAAATACAATGTTTATGGTTATTTTTATTATTTTATTGTCATCATTTGATTTGTGGTCTGGTCTTTGCTCATTCATCCATTCCACTTGAAGGACTTTTCAAAGTTACCAGTCAAGATGAAGCTAATGCTAGTTTTCCACAGCTCAAAAGGAAGGGGACTTGTTTGCTAACGCTAGCTAGCCTAACAGCATTTAACATTTTAATTTTCTACTGTTTTCCATTATTTCGTCTAGTCTTTGCTCATTCATTCCCCATTCAAGCAGAATCTGGCAGTATTACCAGTCAAGAACAAGCTAACACAGATTGCTAAGTGGCTAACACTAGCTAGCACAACAAATATTTGACATTCATTCAAGAACATTGAAGACTTTTGGATGTGAATTTCATTTTTATCTCATTTCAACATGAATTTGAATAATATGCAACAACAAAAAATGATATTGTTTCCTCATTTCCCATCTGTATGTTTATTTTTTTATTTTAAAATTGCAATATTATAAATTGACAATCTACCACCAATTGGCAATAAACGCCTACTGATCAAGTACATAATGTGGTTTTGAAATCTGAAAAATGGATAAGTGGCTTTTATGATCCGCTGAAGACAGAGCGGTGCAGTTAATTTAACGGTTATTATTACTCTAAAATATGTCGTGCATAATTGCAACATTGTTTCTGGAGTTGTTTTTAGCTCCATCCAGGTTAATATCAGCAATTTCTGTCACAAACGCATCCCCCTGCCCTAAATGTCTCCAACCAAACGTCATTCAGAGCCTTTTTGAGAAGAAATTTTGGCCATTTATTTAACTGGCTGCTACCATTTGTGACATTGGAAAAATCCTTAGTGTGTGTGACTGAGACAGAGGGGGCGGAGTTTCATGTTTGTGCCCAAAGTCCCTGATATTTGACCTGACATTGTTTTGGGATCCATCCACTTTGTTTTTGATGTGAGAGCAATGTTGCAACAGGGTTAAAAGATCATTTTGTTTTCAATTTTTCCAATCAATTTGTGTTCTTTACATCTGCGTGGATGTGTTCGCAGCATTTTTGCATATATAAATTCAACACGGCCCTCTAGTGGTTGAAGGGGGGAACTACCTGCCAAGATCATAGTTGTATCTTTTATACGCATAACATTATTTCACATTCAAAAACTTGAAATGCCAAAAGAATTACATTAAAGTCGATGTATTTTTTGTATAGCCCTAAAACACAACAGCAGGCATCTCGGAGGACTTTAGAAAGTTGTCGATCAGATCAAACAAATTTTCCGGATCGTCGCTGTTCTTAGACCCTCCTGAATCGACAAGGACCCACTCAAAAAAATGATGAATCTCAGGGAGGTCCATATACAGAGGGATTCGGCTCCTATACGGACAGTCAAAAATGGACAAAAAATAACATTTAAATATTGACAAAAAACATGTTAATTTTTACCATATTTTTTTTAGCAATTAACCTGAATTTTATTACGGACACTTTGCATATTTGTTCTAACCAAATGCCGTCTATCTGCTGCAGCATGTGTCGAGCGACTTAACCGTGGTTTACTCTGCACACACACGTTTCCAGCCTCTTTAAACTGTAATCAAGCCATTCTTTTTTCATATTTGCCTGAATGAAATCACCTCCAAATTGCAAAAAAACACCAACCTGGATAGCGTTGGACTTATTTATTTAGATTAGCGCGCTCGCAGCAGACGGTATAAGAAATCGCCTGCTTTTCCCAAAAACAATGGGACAAAAAACAAAAAACCTCCGGATTCTGGCAGACTATACGTGTGTGTTGATAAACCGGAGGCAGGTTGTCCATAGATACCGCCTTAAACGCTTCTTCTCTCGGGCCGTCGCAAATATTCAGCAGCTTTTCGATCAATCTTTAAAGCTGGGGTAGACAACTTTTTTTGCATAAATAGCACATGTTAACGTACAAGTTTAATCCAACCACAACGTGACTAGAAAACTTTGCAGACTTGTACGG